CAAGGTACATAGAAATATTGTCAAGCTATGACTTTAAATTGATACATAGGCCTGGTAGATTGCATAGTAATTGTGATGGTCTTTCAAGATACAGAGAGCCTGACAATTCTGAAATACCGAGTGAAGAAGAAAATTGCACGAGTTTTATTGAAAAATCGGCTCCAGTGATATACAGTAGTGACGTCATCAAATTAAACACTGGTGAGGCAGATACTGTAGAAAGTGGAAAAGTCTGCAAAAGATGTTGTAACGACTTAGATTCCATAAAATCAAAGATAGAAGAACAAAGAGATTGTCAAGGTTTAAAAGAAGAAAAGTCAAATAAAGAACCTACTACAAAAGTGACATCTTTATTAAGAACTGTAACCAAAGTTGATGTGAAAAATACAATGTCTCTTGATTGCCCGCAAGTTGAATTAGAAGAAGGGTGGTCACTTTCAGAAATAATTGAAGCTCAAAAAAATGACAACACGATTAAAGACATATACCATATGAAAACTTCAGGTCGTGAACGCCCGAAATGGGAAGAAATAAGTCATATGGACAAAGAATTCAAAACGTATTGGGGTCAATGGGATACAATACAATGTTTTGATGGCATTCTTTGCCGCAAATACGCAGCTGGTGACAGTGATAAAACTTGGTGGCAAATTATTTTGCCTGAATGTTACAGAAAGAAAGTCCTAAATGCCATGCATAACAATATTACGGCAGGCCACATGGCCATCAAAAGAACAAAAGATAGAGTGAAACAAAGATATTACTGGCCATGTTTGTCAAAATCTGTATATAGATTTATTAAAAGATGCACAACCTGTCAAAAACGCAATAATCCGGTTCGCAAGCCAAGAGGGGCGTTACATCAATATGTAGTTGGTGCACCTCTAGAAAGAGTCGCGTTTGATATACTAGGGCCTTTGGTTGAAACAAAAAATCGAAATAAATATGTACTAGTCATAGGGGACTACTTCACAAAATGGAAGGAATGTTATGCAATGAAAGATCAAACAGCTTCGACTGTTGCTAAATTGTTTGTGGACGAATTTGTAACAAGATTTGGAACACCTCGCGAACTTCATAGCGATCAAGGCAGAAATTTTGAATCTGATATCATGAAAGACATATATGAAATTCTTGGCATTAAAAAGACACGAACAACTCCGTGGCACCCTAGAAGTGACGGTATGATAGAGAGGCATAATAGAACATTCATTGAAATGCTTTCTAAATACATTGATTCGAATCAAGATACATGGGACGAATGTTTGCCGTTGATTAGTATGGCTTACCGTTCTTCAATCCATGAATCTACCGGAGAATCACCGGCTGCTATGATGTTAGGTAGAGAGTTAGAACTACCACTAGATGTCGTTACTGATCCTCCAAGAGTAGAAGAAGATGATGAGTTAAAAACTGATTATGTAGAAGTGTTGAGACAAAATTTCCGTGACTCGTACAACCATGCAAGAGTTTGTTTAAAAAAAGCTCACGTTAGGCAAAAACGTCAGCATAACGCGCGTTTATCTGCAACTGTGTATAAGAAATACGATGTCGTATGGATGTATAATCCAACAAGAGTAAAAGGGAAAAGTTTCAAACTGATGTGTCATTGGACAGGACCCTATATGGTTGTTAAAAAGATATCAGATGTCGTGTATAAAATACAACAGACAGCAAGGTCAAAACCGAGAATTATACATCATGATAAGTTGAAACGTTACCATGGTGACGAGTTTAAAACCTGGGAAATTCATGAAAAGGGAATAGACGAGTGTGTTGAATTCAGTGATGCAAACACTCAGACGTCATTTGTTGAAGAAATGATATCTTCAACTGAAGAGTTAAATGAAGAAGAGCAACAAACAGAAAATGAGGTTGAAACCTACAAAAATGACGAAGATAGTGAAATAAATGGGTTAGATAAACATGTCAGTCTTCAAGAAGAAAAAGACTCAAATAGCGACACCACGGTTTCTACTAAAAATCAAAATGAAGATAAGAAATCATCAAATGGTGTATTGAGGCGAAATGCAAGAAATAGAAGAGCGCCTACGAGATACGGATGGGACTAATTGATTAATTAGTCGAAAATGTAAATAATGTATATACATATAAAAAGGAGATAGTTAGTTAAATGGATGACAACGTTGTTTACCTCATGATTATTTAAAAGAAAAACAAACAACAAAAAAAGTAAATAAAAATCATCAACGCATACCTTAAAAGATCTTTTATTTCAAACTCTCAATGGAATTGCATATAGGTATATTTTAATGGCTAGTGGATGAAAACATAACTTGCAAGAGGAATTGTTAAGGGGAGGTACAGCCTTTTAAGTATGAAAACAGGACCATTCTGTAGTATTGGATAAGTTTTCGAACAATTTTCTTTTATCAATTAAACATAAAGAGTCAAATATCAAAATTGACAAAATTGCAAGTTTTTGTGAATGCCGTGATTATCCGTTTTTGTGATATGTGGTGACCCGGGCAATAAAGAGTAAACAATTAGAATTAAAAAATTAGAAGTAAACAAATAACAAAAAGACTGAAAAGTAACTTTTAAAATGAGATTTCTGAAGGCAATTTATGTTTTACAGTAATTAAACGTGTGCTTGTCGAAAATACACATATATCGTTTTATCTGGTTTTATTAAGAGATATGAAATTCCATGAAAATGGAGGGGGTAGTTTGTAATGCGAAATTATGATGGAATTTCATATTCCATTCGTGTAGTAAGGCCTGGCATTTTAATATGGTACTTAAATGATGAGATGTAAAGTCGGCTTTTTGTCATGTATTCTTGGATATTGCATCTAAGTTGATAAGTTAGCTAGACATAGAGAATTCATTGTTGTTAAGTTATGAGATTTGAACTAGGCTTCTTGTCATGTGTTCTTGGATATTGCATCTAAGTTGATAAGTTAGCTAGAAGAAGAGTTCAATGTTGTTTTAAATCGAGGTTGTGTGGTTGTTACTTATTCTTGGATATCGCATCTAAGTTGAATCATAGGTAACAAATGATCCACATGTAAAGCAGTGGGGTAAAATGACTGATATTTATCCTTGGATATCGCATCTAAGTTGAATCATAGGTATCAGTTAGCCCACGTGCATTAACAGTAATATTAGTTGGAATTTTATAATGGTATTAGAACAGAATTAGTGCAGTTTTGTTTTTGAACTCGGACTTCTAGAATCTAAAATTTAAAAATGATTTTGCTATTAACTTAAAGAGGAATCAAATGGCTTTTAATTTTAAATATAACTTACAGTGAGCAAGTTGTATCTTTTGAGAATGCGAAAAGCATAAAAAGTATATGGCACGTTCTGCTGTTTGTGTATTGTGCAAATTGCATCATAAGATTATGATGATTTTAGTCTATCAAGAAACATATTCCTGCTAAATGGGATTATATTATCTTTGGGATATCTTGTCTTTAAGTTTCTAATTTTGTTTTCCATAGTTTAATTCCATACTAATGGTTACGCAAAACTATTTATTGTGAAGACGTCCACACATGTATATGTGACACGCTTGTCTGCCTGACTTATTGTGACACTAAGGAAGTGTCATTGCAAAAAGAGACGTGTCAGTAAGACAGTAAACGTAAACAGTCTAGGTTGCAAATTGCTTGATTGCGCAATACAAAGTAATAACCGTGAGAATATGATTTTATGGCAGTCAAATCTATTAAGGTAAATACTAATAAGGTGCGTTGATGTCCTATATTCTTTGTTTTAATCCAATTTAGCATAGATTAAGGCCTGATGAAAAGATTTATTTAATCTTGGCAGTGTCTTAAGAATTATGTTTCATTTTACAAAGTGGCATATTACCCATTGGTATTACTTATCACTATTGTTTCTGCTTTTACGCAGAAGATGTTAACATTTATGTGTTAAGATTAAAAAAAGTGTATTTGAAACAAAACATGGGAAGAAAGTAGTATTTTTAATCCTTTGTGATTCACCTTATTACATCATAGGTAATCATATTAAGTCATATTTGTGTTGTTGTTAAGCATTGATCACGTTTGACTCGCACAATGTCAAATTATATTTTAACTGGTCCACTCTTTGTAAGCAATTTGCATCAATTACGTATATGTCTAGTGAATAAGAGAAAGAACGTTAGATGAAGATTCTAGGGTATATGCAAAGTGGGTTTAAAGAAAACTACAACCAGACTTAATAATAATTTATGTAAAGTGAATTGCCCGGGATCACAAGTTAAAGACTCAAAATTTAGTCTTTAAAAAGAAAAGTTAAAACAGAGAGTTGAAAGACATTCATTTATGAAAGAAGAGTCAAGTGAAAAATGCGTTTGTTGAAGAGCATGAGAGAGATTAAAATATAAGAAGATGGTGTTATGTCAAAAGACAATCAAGAAACGAGTTAGTTTACATCTAACTGTTCATTGAAGCACGTTTTAAAATAAGTCGATGTAATTTCATCGTAAATAAATATATCCTTTAGTTAGTATCATATTAATGTATAGTTATTATGTGAAGTGTGATAGATATTTTGAGTTCTAAATCTAAGTTTTAGATTTTTTCACACAGACTTACGGGGACAAATCTGACACATTTTATGTTATGTCAGACCTTATGTTTTGATAGTTAGAAACAATTATTGTTTATGTTATCATTTAGGATTGCTAATTAGTCTTGTAAGGCGACAAATTGGCGTTTTAATATTTCTAAATCAGGCACGTGTCTTACTGTTAATTGATTTTGATTGGTAGACAAGATTAAAAGTTAATTATGATTGGTTTAATGTTTAGATGAGCATTAGTGTTTATTCCTATAAATACGTAATCCTTTCTAACGGTCAGCATACAGAAAGTTTCTTTTACATGGTATCATCAAACACACAAAATGTCAAGTAATAGCTCATCTGATTGGGGCCAACCCAAATATTTAAATGATAAACACAGTGAAGCTATGCGTGAACTTCTAGGAACATCAACTTTGAAAAGCCACACTAAGGAGTTTGATCTCGCAGCCAAACTGTTTGATGAACATTCCAAAACAACAAAAAAAACAAAAGTCAAAAGGTACTGCAAAATACCAGGATGCGATTATTATACGAAATATTCAACGGGTGATATCACTAAACACATGAAGGCACGCCACTCTATGACGACTACGCCAAAGAAGAAAGTGGTAAAACAAGATGAAATGCCCATTACTCAAGTACCAAAGAAAAGGAAACAAAAAAAACCCACAACGTCCACACCAAAGGAAGGAGGGAAGCGACACGGAGGGCTGAAGGAATTTACAAAGAAAAAACGACAACAGAATCATGGATTTATGACGTCTACGCCAAAGAAACGTTTCACTACGTATCCAATAACATCTACACCTATTGCTACAAAAACACTGGAGGAGGATGCATCAATGTTAGCAATGCCCGAGTCAGAAGTAGCAGAAATACCAAAACAGCAAACGCATAGTCATGATCGTAAAATTGTGACTTACCATGGAGCCATTAAAGTAACATATGAAAACATTCCCGACGATCATCCAATATTATTTGAAGTGAAGCCATCCAGAGAGCAGTTATCGACCCCAGGAGTACTTGTAGATGACATAGGATCCGTGGAGATAAAAATCAACAACAAAGAGGATTTGGACGTTATCAAGCTATTAGGACTTCGTGTGATACGTACATTTAGGAAATAAACTAGCGATAACTTACGACAACAAATAGGATTTATAAAAGCGTCTCCATACTCTACACATTTCGAAACAGGGACTTAGAACTTCATCAACAATTTGGATTATTTATGCGTCGCTTAGTAACTGAACCAGGTATTGGATTTCGATTTGCCAAATATTAACTGACATTGGATTACTTTGTTCACAGCATCATACTTTTTCATAGAATATTGGACACAGGACTAGATATGCGGATTATAAAACGTCCTCCTATTTTAAATGTTTCGGACTTTATTTATGGATTATTACAATGCCGCACCGTCAAGGAAATACTAAAGGATTTGTTGCCGAACTTTCATTTTCGTCATTTTACGAACCAGGTATGCAGCAATTTAAAGGATATTATTATGAACAATTTTATAATTATGGATTATACACGAACTATGTATGCGGCACTGTGTTAGTAAACATTCATATAGGACATTGTTAATATATCATATACATTTATTTAGATTTTGCATATTTTCAGTTTTTTAGTACGTACAATGTCAGGAGAATTGTCATTTTATTTGGGTGGGGGTTGTATAGCATTTTTCATGTTGATTCACCGTATTGTGCTGCCATCTTTAAATGGGTTTCTTATAGGTTTTGTAGGGTTTGCCTTTCATTTCCTATAACTTGGGGGTATTTAAGAGAAATTTTGGGCTTCATTCAGTAGAGAGTTAGATCGGGGGGAACATCACACATCATTTATTTTCATCTTATTAATCTCATTTTCATTCTTTCTTTATCTTTGAACAGTTTTATTTTATACTGAAGAGTGTAATTGTGCATGTTTAGTCTTTTACTTGGAATAAAGTATAGTTTTATGAGTATATTAATTCTGTGTTAATCTTGTCTTTTTTACATTACAAGACCAATCCATATTATTTTATGAAGAACCCACAGAGCTATTTAAACAACAAAGCTCGAAGCTTCAGAATCATATATATAATAGGTAAATAGGATTTATTTGTACTGATACCCTATTAGGGCCAAACAAACATCGGGATCCAACAATAAAAATTACAGTAAAAATATTTAAAAGAAATATAAAGAAAATAAGACCACGTTCTTCAAATTACATAAAAGATCCTGTGACCATCAAATAACACAATACACTTTTCAATATCCATGATAACGATTGATTTCGAATTTGTCAGTTTCTAACCGTTTGGGATTAGTTTATAGCCAAACACTACAGAAAATATTCTGTAGAAGTTGGACCTATCACCAATGTTTGTCAATGAACATTCTTACACGTTTTAAAATTCTGTTTGAAATATTTCTATGTCTATCCATCGGTCAATAGCACTAATAGCAAATGTTAATTGTATAAAATATCCGGATTGAAATAAATATTCATATTCATGATAAGTCCCGGGTGACTAGTCGTCGTTTTGCCAATATAGTCTGCAAGTCCTCACTTACTTGTGTGAAATGTCCCGTTTGCTTTGAAGGATCCGTTGTTTTCGTCGTCTGATAACTGTAGTACTCGATTTCGTCGTACCTTAAAAAGGAAAACACATAATTAAAGGTCGTATGTGCATGATGTGGAGAAATAATTAATGGTGACAATTCTAGCGAAAGAAAAATGACTTCCAATAGAAATGCAGTCTGATATTGGGGAAGTAAGAAATGGACTAAAAGGATGGGTATCGATATGGTGAACTTTTTTAAAACACGTTTCTCTTAAACCAGTCATCAAACAATTCTGAAAATTTTACACATTGTCAATTTAATGGTCATCTTTTGAATAATAACGATATAATTTGAAATAAATATTACATACTTTTCTCTATATTGTTTTAGGAAACACATCAGACACTTCTTTTGTTCTTGGTATCATACGTTCGGAATGAAATGAAACATCTATCCGAACCTCATTGGAACAAAATTACATAAACACAACGATAGGTCTCTCAATATTGTAATTGTACAAAGGAAAGTTTGGTTGATTTAAAAAAAAGTATCCTGTTAATGAAATAAAAGTTTTATCTTAATTTTTATCTATTTTTGGAGTTTTTGTTTTTATTTTTTGAATACTTTTTCTGAAATCAACCAAAATTTCCTTTGTATAACTAAAATATTGAGAGGTCTGAGAAAATGTTGTATATGCAGTTTTGTTCCAACAAACTTCGGAAAGATATTTTATTTAATTCTGAAGAATTGGTTAAAAGGAACAAAAAACAATTGCATTTAAAAACAAAAAAATGTTAACAAAAACAATTACATAAAATATACATGTATATGAATCATTTTCGCATTAAATTGTTGTCAACCAATCAACATAACATAAAGGACCGTGTTTTTTACAGAATGTTTTCAATAATTGGTTTAAGAGAAAAACATTGTTGAATCCAGTTCACCATATCGATACCAATCCTTTAACAACATCTAATATTTTTCATACGAAAAATACTGATCAACATTAAATATTGCATAACGATGTAATCACAGGGATAACAAAACAACCACGATGACAGGGATAAGAAGGGCAAATCTTAAGTAACGAGGAACTAAAGGAATTAGCAAATAAGCATATAATAGCGATAAAAGTGATAATTTGGATAATAGATATAATATCACTCTCACCGATTATTAGCGTTAGCAGATATTATCGCTACTATTTCTAATGAATAGCAATTGGGTTTGTTAAAGCTAATTTTGGATGTGCCCGGTTGACAGAGAAGATGGTTCTGACCTATTTTGTCAATTATTTGACGGTTTTGTCACTTTTCCTGATACTTCGCATTAAATAAGATAGGAGACAGAAATAATTTGCTACACGCGACTTTCCCCACCGAGCTTAAAATAATATCGTACCATTTTTGAATAGCAATTACACATTCTTCTTCCAAAGTTGGAGGTGTAGAGGTAGTTGTCGACTTGTACAGATTCTCCCCGGAATTCGGATACCTAAATGCGGTGTTCGATCCATGACTGTGCTCGAAAGCATGTCTCGCAGCTAAGTCATCTGACCAAGCTTGTGCAGTTGCAGCCAATGCAGAGTTATAACTCAGTGGGTCGGTACTTAGGTGGAGGTCACGGACCTCATTATGCTTGCTAGTACATTGCATATTGAAATCTGATGGCTCAGTTGGGGTCTCGGTTGGTGGCTCAGTTGACGTCTCGGTTGGTGGCTCAGTTGGTGGCTCGGTTGGGGGCTCGGTTGGAGGCTCAGTTGGGGACTCAGTTGGGGTCTCGGTTGGTGGCTCAGTTGACGGCTCGGTTGGTGGCTCAGTTGGTGGCTCGGTTGGGGGCTCGGTTGAAGGCTCAGTTGGGGACTCAGTTGGGGGCTCGGTTGGGGGCTCGGTTGGTGGCTCAGTTGGGGGCTCGGTTGGTGGCTCGTTTGGGGGCTCGGTTGGTGGCTCAGTTGGGGGCTCGGTTGGTGGCTCGTTTGGGAGCTCGGTTGGGGGCTCGGTTGGTGGCTCAGTTGGGGGCTCGGTTGGTGGCTCGTTTGGGAGCTCGGTTGGTGGCTCAGTTGAGGGCTTGGTTGGTGGATCAGTTGGCAGATCAGTTGGCAGCTCAGTTGGGGTCTCGGTTGGTGGCTCAGTTGGTGAATCAGCCGATGACTCAATTGGTGGCTCAGATGGCGACTCAGCCGATGAATCAATTGGTGGCTCAGTTGGCGACTCAGCTGATGACTCAATTGGTGGCTCAGTTGGCGATTCAGCTGATGACTCAATTGGTGGCTCAGTTGGCGACTCAGCTGATGACTCAATTGGTGGCTCAGTTGGCGACTCAGCTGATGACTCAATTGGTGGCTCAGTTGGCGGCTCAGTTGGGGATGCGGTTGGCGGCTCAGTTGGCAGGTTAGTTGGGGTAGCCGTTGGCGGCTCAGTTGGCAGGTTAGTTGGGGATGTGGTTGGTTGTTGAGTTGGGTTTTCTGTAGTCGTATAACTCCTGCAGTAGCATATACTATATTCCAGACTGAAAGATTTCTGATTCTTTGGAGATTTCTTTGGAAATTTCCTTGGAGATTTCCTCGGAGATTTCTTCGGAAATTTTTTGGAAGATCTCACTACTCTGGTTTGTTTCTTTATGACAACCATTTTGCTAGATTTAGGTTTTGTTGCTTGATATGGAAGATATTTCTGGGCGAAAGATTTCTGTTTCTTGGAAGATTTCTTAGGAGATCTCCATTTGGTTTGTTTCTTTTTGGCAACCATTTTGCCACATTCGGGTTTTGTTCCTTCCTGGCAGATGCCATAAAGAATCATTTTACCTCCCTCGAGTTTACCGACCTTTTCTCCTTCTCTCTTCAAACAACCCCTTGGAACAGGAGCATTCGCTTCAATATCGCACTAAAACAAATATAGATGATTCAAATATTATCGTATAATGGAAGACACGTTACTTTTGTTGAATATCGTTTGTAACAAGATGACCAACCTTCCGACAAATAATCAGTTATCGTTATTAGCTTTTAGGACACCGTTCTGTATTTTATCAATAATACAAAAACACCACCAAGGTGTTGCTACAAAGAACTACTGTATATGAGAATACGTAAACATCTTTCTACTATCTATATGTGTCAGTGGCACAAGAATGAAGTTTTTATAGGTAAATTAAATGCATTTTCCTGATTTAAAAATCTGTTTGTCTGACTTACGATGTTGTGTTAATTCAACAATGGATTGTTTTAGTTTTTCTAATTGTGTTGTGTTAATTTGACAGTCAGTTGTGTTTTGGTGGTTGTTTCTCTGAATGTGCCTGGTTGTATTATGTTAGTTAGGTATTGGACCAAGGTATATTGTACTATGTTAATTTGGCAGTAGGTTGTGTTATGTAATGTTGTCCTCGTGTCACGCTGATCGAGTGGCAGGTTGTGCACAACCGGGTGAGGTATTGGTTGGTGCCCGATTATGTTTTGTGCTTAATGTTGTCTATCGTTGGAGGGAGTTGATTTGGGTATATTTGCATCACAATTTGGTTGTGTTCTATTGGTTGTGCCCGGTTGTGTTGTGGAATCCAAAATGGATCTGGTTGGGTATATTGTAGTCACAATTAGGTTGTGTATTATTGGTTGTGCTAGATGGTAATTGTGTTATACTGGTTGTTGGAAAGGTTGTGTTGTGTCCAATCAGGTGAGATGTCGGGTTGTGCATAACTGTGTTGTGTTGTTGATTTAACAAGAGTTTGTTTTTGTTTGTTGTTGAATTGGTTGATGGTGTTGATCTATTATTGGGTTATACCAGATTGTGTTGTGAAACATTTGACAGTTGATTGTGTTTTTAGTAGTTTTAAGCTATAATTAATGGGTGTCCCCGAATCATTGATAAAACACAGTGGTATATTTGTATCTTAAGAGCGTTGTCTTTATATTCAAAGCGAGAGTGCCTTAGTCATGGTAACACCGGGCAAGCTCATGATATCATGAATTAGTTCATTCTATTCATTGAACTATTTCAGATTATCATTTTTCAATATCTTTTTTTTTCAGAGAGACTAGACTGAATGTAGCATATACTTTATTGTTACTTCATTTATTGTTTTTCTGTGTATAGTGTATTGCTGTGGCAGATAACCATATTATATGTATGCTTTCCCAAGTTATATTTGAAAAGACAGTAATATTTAATCGGTCATTTGCAAGAAAAAACTTCTTGAACTTTTTTTTATTTGTTTCGGATCCATTGGTAAAGTACTCCGAAAATTTAAATTCATTAAATGATTTCTAATTTTTTCATGTTTGCTTCAGATGCGAGTAGGCAGTTACCAGGTTCACCACCAGGTGGCTCTTTCGGGTCAGATAGCATGGCGGGTATAACTAGAAAGTTCCCTTTCAATAAATTTTCATCTGTTTTAATGGTTCAATTTTCATATCACCCTTTTGTATCTAATGGTTATGCAGATTGAAATATGTCCAGTAAAAGAAAATGTTATCTGTCCAATACAAAAAAGATATTTCACTTTTTGTGATTTTATATCATGGGGTCTATGGGGAATCTCCCCGAACTAGAAGTCACATTTTCAACAAAGAAAGTCAAACTTGATAAACAATTTTCGAAACCATATTTCTAGATGTACTTTACATGTAGATTTCAAATATGACATCACTTTGACAGAATTTTGAGTATTTAATGACGTAAATCAAGATTATTTCTACTCGCATCTAGTCTATTGGTGTTACCTTTTTCTTTTTGTACACGACTTTGTAATCTGCAGAGACGATGTACACCAATGTCGTGACCATAAGGAAAACACACTTCCAGTTAACAATTTCCATTATGTGTCACCAATTAAAAGGGACCTCCGTTATATTCAACTGGAAATAAAAAAGGATTATAGATATTATTTTGATATTTTATCTGCATTTCGCGAGTCATGGCAGAAGTTGTTTTGCCATAATTTTATGCTCATTTCTTAATTATCGAATTATGCAAAATGTAAAATTCAAGTAATAGAAATATTCATTTACATACCCACTGCTCGCCTTTCTGTAAAATCCCGTGTAGGATAAGAGAAGTCTGCTTTCTATCGAATGAATGATCAAATGGTTACCGATGCCCTTTATATATTTGCAGGGTGGGCCAAAAACGTTAATATTGGAATATGCCATATACCGCAGGTGAAAACGCGATACAGAAAGTCTCGATTTGATACCCTGGATTACCAATATTGTTCGCGCTTCGAGTACTAATATATGAATCCGGCCTGGATTTTTTAAGTTCATTACGTGTAATATTGCTGAATAATACTTCTGAAAGTATCAGAAATGTGTGAATCGTGATTGCCAATACAACAATACAAAATACTCGTGATTCTGTAGGTTTTTATCTAGTCTTTGTCAACTGTTAATTCGGTTCAAAAAGTCACTCACAAGCTCTTCGAACGTAGGTTCGTTTATTTTGCGTAATTTTGCGTTTCCCTTGAAGTGTGTATTTGCGTGTAACACATACATAAAACAACATCAAACAATACAGGTACCACTGGTGTATGTTATTCAATCGTAGTAGTTGATACATTCAATATAATGTACTGACCTGTTGATTCAGTAATCGTGATAATAATTTATAAACTTTTGTCTATCATCTGTCATACACTGCAAGTGAATATGCCATATTCGTTGCGGAATACGACATAATATTTGTATCGTGTTTACTGCGTAACAGATATTTCTTACTTGATGATAACTTTATATATACATGTATATATTTTAGAAATTTTTTAGGAGAAAGTAGAATTTTAGGTATGTAAGTATAGTCTCAGGTTAAAGAAAACTTACAATTGTCAGGATAATATCCGAAGCAACAATTTCACACTGATATTAGTTTAGTTTAGTTTAGTTAAATATTTATTAGAGTCTCACGCTGTAAATATATCAAATACAATAAATACATAAACATATTACATGTTTGCACTAAAATTGAATAAAAACACAGCCCAGCCGGCACCGGCTTATGAGAGACTTTTTACATTTTATAACAACACTGAATAGTTTTAAATTAAAAGTCTATTAGACATCATAATACCAATTGTCTTTGCTAGTATGCGTTGCAATGAAGGGGTGCACATTATATTACTGTATTTCCCTAATGATGGAAGGTTATCAAAGTCAGGAATTATATCTCTGGCTCTTTGAAAAAGGTTAAAACGTAATGTTTCATGTAAGGGACAGTCAATTAGAAAGTGTTGCTCGTCTTCAATAGACTCATTTGAACATGAACAAGTCCTGTCCGCAAGGGGAGTGGCACTGTATCTCCCTGTTTCTATTTTTAATGGAAGTGTCCCTGATCGTATCCGGGCTATGTTACTTCTTTGTTGTTTGCTTAGTGTCAAAGTAACATAACTCTCTGGCTCTCAAGCACGGCGCTTATGGATCCTGTAAGTCCGCAATTTGTTGCCATTCACTGGGTTGCGCCGATCGTTCCAGAGTTCCTTGAACCAGAGATCATTGTCGATTTCCACAAGCCGTTGTTTGACAAGCTCGAGTTTACGTCTGACCCCACGCACTGGTCCGGCTGTAAATAAATCATCGGAGTTGCAGTCTTTTAACATGTCTTGGATCTTAGTTTCCCATGAACCTCGTTCGTGAAGCGCCCATTGATGTATTTTCTTCGTCACTCTGGTGTCACGCAGATTCTTAAGTCGGAACCAGAATCGCGTCATTTCAACTCTGATTTTGGTGGTCATTGATGCCCAGCACATATCGCCTTGGGTTGCCGTATTGGGAGCGTGTTGCCCTACTCCTAGGAAGAATTGGCACGCCTTGTTCTGTACGATAGTAGATGCGTTTCTGGCCGATTTAGTTAAACCCCATATTGCAGCACCATAGAGCAGAACTGGTATTAGTCATGTCTAAATACGAATTCATAAATCAGTTGTTGTTACCATACCTATAATGATCATGACCTATAAATTCAGTATCTTTAAAGTCCCAGGAGCAATCAACTTTTCCTTTTAGAAAATCGAACATGTCTCAACTCAAAGCACATTCTAATTATGCATTCAACAATATAATAAAAGGTTGCATTTTTGGTGAAACTTAGGTCAACATTTTTGAAAAACTATGTTGATTGGTCCATTGCCCCTTCAATATCACTTAGGTCTGATAAACTAAATTATCATTATATATACTTTTCTTGAAGATAATGAATGGATCTAAAAGATACACCCATGTTCATGATCAGAAAATATTCATAATTCAAGTTATAATCGTTTGAAATTGTTTGCGATAACCTACGTGCTCCTTTCAATAAGTGTTTTTTGAAGTTCTTTTTGCTAAAAAAATTGTGAATTTATTTCAGAAAATGTATACACCCTAAATAACATCACGATGATGTCACTTAGGGTGCAACATTTCATGTTTAATTTTGTGTGAATGCTCTTGACCAGACTTTAAACTTTCTATGAATTACGTTTACAGATTCTCAAGCAGAGCACGAATTTTTCTAGGTAAGTCTACCCGCGTCCATGTGAATATAACATTTTCCAACCGTCAATTATGTGATTGAAATGCGATAGTGAAATAGTGTCTAGCCAAAATAATACGTAACGCAGATGCAGCAGAAGGTACAAGCGATTTATTGGAAACCCGTACATTCTGATACTCATAACACCTTTCTGTTCCACCTGAACATGGTCAGGGCTGAGAAGAAATGAGATGTCATGGTTTATCATGATGGTATAAATAATATTTAACAAAGCCATGTCTTTGCAATAAGGCTCGAACAGAGGTTTGCGCAGGTGAAGTTGTATGGAGCGTTGCTTACACAATATTTAAGTTATTGTTATTGGCATGGAGGTCATTCAAAATATATTGTTTCTAATATTTCCAAACGATTGTGTTGAATTGTATACATTTTAAATTATAAAAAAGTAGCAGAAAATAAAGGGCCAGAAACACCCCATGCAGACAGATCGCCTCAAATTACAGTCCTTTGATGCAAGACTCGACATTCACTAGGAAACTTGAAATAAGTTGTCACCAATGGAGCAATTTAGTTTTTTACTGCTTAATAAATGGTGAATGAGAGGACCTGCAGGCTTTACTATTTATACATGTTTTTTTCTGTTTTGAAAAATTTGATAGGTGATGTATATTTCTTAGTTTTTCAAAGAAATCTACAAATATTTCCTTGCTTTTTTATCTTTACATCGTAATTTCAATCACTACCATCAATATTCAAACGATCAAGACGTTTCTAGTTTCCTGGTGAATTTCGAGTCTCGCATCATAAGAATGTAATTTTAGGCGATCTGACTGCATGGGGTGAGAAAATACGCCGGAGCAGCATGGAAGTTGGCCGTTAATCACAGATGAGTCACTCCGGTGTAAAAGAAATTATGGTCCCCTGGGGATTATAGTCCCCTTTCTCAAAGGCCCTTACTGACCCTGATTGTGGATACAATAATAAGGGAAAGAGTTGTACTTACTTGTAGGTCACCATATAAATCAATGGAAAGTAGGACCATAATTTGATAGGACCTCCTACCCTTTTACACCGGTCTGCATTCTGATTTATCAGAGCCCCTCTTTACCTAACACTTTTGAACTATTCCAAAAGGATAGTAAAGGCTGTGGATCCCACAATGACCGGTCTGCAATTCCTCACTTTCTTGTGTAAAATGTCTCGTTTGCTTTGTAGGAACAGTTGTATACGTCGTCTCATAACTGTTGTATTCGATTTCGTTGTAAAGGAAAGACATTATTACAGTAAACTGACAAGGTTGACATGATATGGAAAAATATTCAACAATGTTGACATTTCTAGCGATCTGATTGGCCCACTTGAGGTCAATATATCCTGTCAGTCATTGCACGTTTCAACTTCACTGTGGTCTTGTTATATTAGAAATATTCGAGAAGCTGAAATTGTATCATACTTGTTGGTGGTACAGAGGGCCCCTTAGAATCTTATAAATACGATTGTGAATGTGACTCCTCTATTTGAGACCTATTAGAACGATAGTCGTTAGCCATTTCTCCGTTCCCAATAACTCCGAAACCCAATAACTATAGAACCCAATACTCCGAAAAAGAGTCATGTATTCAAAGAAAGAGAAACTAAAGAATCAGATCCACCGAGCAGCGCCTGATAAAAAAATGTTTCAAATTTAGAATAGTTCTGGCTTATGTCATTTGTTCATGTCTATTTTCTAAAAATCCCAAAAATGCACACTTTATTTCAGGAAAACTAAAGATTTTTACAATAATCTATTATTTTTCTATAAGAATGGTTACCATTCTTATTTTTTGGGAGAATTTAAATATTTTTCAGTTTTCACCCTTTTTTGCACTTTGAATCCATTATAACTTCACAAATTCATAACATTTCGTGAACCTTTTTGGATAATTGTATTTGAGATTGTAAGGAATAGATTGGTAGGTCAATTGTACATGTTGATTGTAATTTTGTCATCCCCATAGATCTGATTCTATAATTCTATGCTTACGCATTTTAAGCTTTTGCCAGTTGCATGGCATACTTTTGGAGTATTGTACTCCAGTCATTGGTCGTACGACGGCCGTACACCGACCGCTGATCAATTTTAAATCAGTGAATTTCGGCGCTAGATGAGGAAAACTTCTCTCGCTTCTCTCGAGCAAAGGCAGGCCCAGCAGTTTTTTCATATTTCAATTATTTTAAAAATGTTCAATTTTGTAAAAGGTCGGAAAATGTAACCAGTGACTAAAATATGACATCTATTATTCGACGACGCATTCTGATCATTTTAGCATAGTTATTGACGATTTTATCAATATTTCATCCCATGAAGATTTTACTTCCCATTGTTCTTAAAGATATGCTAAAGTAACTTCTACTTCACGTAGAAATTTTAAATATTAATTTTGAGGATGAAAATTCCATTTTTATAATAGAGCTCAATGGGAATAATGACATAATTTGAATTATTTTCAAACGTAGCGGCGCGATTTTCTTAAAATTGACATACGTAATGAGTAACAGTAAGCTAGATTGTTTGAAAAAAGTCAATGTCCTGTTTACGCAAAATGTTGAAAACGTGAAAAATAAACCTGAAAACCTATAAAAATATATATTGAAGGGGGTGATTTTTTGAATATCATTTCTATTACCTGTTTACATGTTATTATGGAATAATAAGGTTTACACAAATACAGAATTTGAAGGTATCAATGACCAAGCCTAGAAATGGTATTCAATATGTATTTTTTGTTGCTCTGCTGCACAATTTACGAAATATTGGACAAAATTTTATGCAAAATGAAAAACTTAAAAACTAATCGGGGCAGTAATATAGTCTTGCTTCAAGCCCCTTTAATGCAGGTGGAAACAAGCCGAAAGGGGTTGTAATTGTATAGCTACTATATAGGCGGGGTGTACAGTAGAATAGACAGTATGAATCAACAAGAAAATAAAATCCGATAAAGGAAATCAAAGGAACGACTTTTTTATGTTTTCTGAAGGCCTATCTTATTTCTATATTTCAGTACATTTTATTTATTTACATCATATACATGAACTTAGAAAAAGAGCATAAGCAAAAATTGTTGGATTCTGCCAATAAAAGCTGTCGGAAGCTTCAGCGTCTTTTTAAAGGCAAAACGTTTTCTCCCCAATTTCTTAATCTCGAGGCTTCAAAACTTTCATCTGTTGGTAGTTTTAAGTTGAAATTCCCACTTGGAAGATATTGACATGCCACGTAGGTTTCTGTTCGACTGGCATCAGCGCTTTGAACTTGAGTTACCCCACACCCAACTTCAGTGGTAGCTTTCCAAACAACCTGTTAGGAATACGAGAGTCGTCAATAAATAACAGTACAGCTTTTCAGTGAGGCTCGAAGTATCATTTTTTGTCAAAAATCTAAGAATTCCGCCTAAAAGGTTCGCAACTTAAACCACCTGTAATCAAAATAATGAATATAAAAATGAGAAATAAGTCATACTTTTCATAAATGTAAGGTGATTTTAAGATATATAATACAGGGTGTTTCATATGTATGCATCCCCCCAATACACTCATACATGTAGCATTGCTACCCTATCATGGTATGTATCATTTTGTTCCTAATGGAAAGTTACATATTATTGCAAAGTTTCAGAATCCAGTAACATTTAGTTTCTGTATTGCATATTCTAGCAGTTATCACTCATGAGTTCAGTGCACACGAGTGTAACAGTTATTTACAAAGATATATATATAGGATTCTTGCAGTGACTTATAGGGAGGCTGTATCAGGGACCCTGGTGCGACCTCTATCACTAAAAATGGGTATGAGACAAGTGAACAGATCACCGGACTGAGTCCAAAAATGACCAGAACTTACCCTCTAAATGACCCTGTACCCGCAAACGTTGATGCATTGCATATTTTTCCAGGGACACCCCTGGATTCTGAAACTTTGCAATCCAATGCAACTTTCCATGAAGAACAAAATGGTATGATAGGATAGCGATGCTACATGTGAGTTTATGGGGGTGCATACACTTCCCTCCATAAGTTTGGCAACCTTTTTTCCCCCATTGGACTACTTGTTAAAGCCTCTTTACCTTTGAATTTTTATTTACTTAACCTGCGATGAAAATACTTATACTATTGATGGAAACGTAATTTGACTTTAATTCCAATACCTCCAAATTTTCTCAATTTTTTTCCTCAATTACAATAGGTCGAAAATTGATGATAAATTTGATGAATTTTTGAAAATCGACATTCCCATGTAAACCAATGGGAAATGGTAGGTTTGCCGCAAGTCATATGACAGAATATCCATCCATCCGAGTCCTTGCAAAAATACGAGTTAGGCAGGCAATTGAATTTGCTAACTTTATTTAACAAAAAATTGATATGTTTCTTCAGGTTCAACAAAGTTATAGGGCTTTAAAATCAAAATTGTTTTTCAAAAAAACTCTCCCATTGAAATAACACAGGAGGCGAAAAATTATTTTCAAAAATGACTTTGAAGCGCTGTATTTTTAATATTCATCAAATAAACTAAACACTTAGTGTTCAAAAAGTTAGATAATTCAATTTTCTATATAAAAATATTTTTTGCTGAATCTTTTACTGAAAAGATATCCTGATTTCTGATTTGCCCCGAACCCTTCATTTCCCATTGGATTACATGGGAATGACGATTTTCAAAAATTTATCAAATTTATCATCAATTTTCGACCTATTGTAATTAAAGAAAAAAATTGAGAAAATTTGGAGGTATTGGAAATAAAGTCAAGTTACGTTTCCATTAATATTATAAGTTATTTCATCGCCGGTTAAGTAAATAAAAATTCAAACGTAAAGAGGCTTTAACACGTAGTTCAATGGGGGAAAAAGGTTGCCAAACTTATGGAGGGGAGTGTACATACGAGACACCCTGTACATAAAAATTTGACTAGACACTTGATTTCTGTTCATGGGCTTCTACAGTATACAAGAGACACAACTAACACTCATACATTTTAAAGGGATGTTGGAATCTTATAACATATCGCTTCAGTACATATATTTCATCATTATTGAAGCTCTCGTTTGCTGAAATATATTTTTAGTCTTATTTTTTAAAGATACTGTACTCGCGGTAATTTGTGCATGTTACTATATTTCCCGCTTTTTGCGAGTATTGGAAAATTCTAATAGTTCTAATTCGCGAAATACTGTCGCGAAATTCCACAAAAATTCATGTATTTCACTCAATGTTGACGTTCTTCGTCCGATGCTGCGCAATGAAAGGTAGCGAGGTTACTGTAATCTTACATTTCGGGTTCTGAAAAATTGTAATTAATATGAACATTCTCACAAAATGGGTCAAATTGGCTCAAAATATCCGGGTGAAGAGCAAAACATGACTGATATTGAAGTGGAAGGGTCATCTTCGTACATTAAGTAGCAAATTTAAAAAGCTTGACAAATTTTGAGAAGTCAGAAATCCGCGAAAATTAATAGCCGTGAAAAGATATCAGCTGCAAAATTTCAAAATCGTAAAATAGCGTTTAATGTTAACTTTATCGCATCTCGATCAACACTATCCCCGTTCTCTAAAGTAATTAACATAGTGCACTAGAAAAACGTTATTGGAAGAACCATGCATGGCATTTTTAAGGAAATCAATTCCAATAAATTAGGAACAAAATGGAAGTCTGATGATTACTATTTAATAAATCCGGTCCACACTTACTTGTGTAAAATGTCCCGTTTGCTTTGTAGGATCCGTTGAATACGTCGTCGCATAACTGTAGTAATTGATTTCGTTGTACCTTATAAAGGAAAGACATACATTGATGAGGTGGGTATGACATGGAGAAATATTCAACAATGGTGACAATTCTAGCGATCTGATTGGCCCACATGATGATAATATATCCTGCATTTTCATGGCGTGTGGAACTATCAATTATCACACTGTTAAATACTGAGAGTTTATTTCATGATTGTAAAATTCCCTGCAACCTGATTGGTCCATGTGACTTAAATATATTCTATATTTACACGCAATCCCCCCTCCCCTGCACGCAATCTAAACTTAGCGTGGGATGCAAAGCGAAAATTACGTCACCGTACTTGACCGTATAAATAACTGATTTATATTTCAGGAAATGATACTGTGATCTGGGCAATCAATATGTTTAGGATAAAACACATAGTGTATCCGTGAATAAAAGAGCGAGCAACTTGAAACTGCACATTGTTTTCTTGAAGCCAATATGGCAGACGAAGACTGAGTTGAAAAAGCGATTCGCTGCACTTCAGCTGATGAAATTGAATTTTTTTTAAAAAGGAGCCTTTTTAGGTAGGGGCACTAGCAAGTGATACAAATATAACAGAGATCGGTAACATAATATACGAGTATTGACATTTGACTTTAAAGATGCACGTCAAAAATCCAATACCAGAGCTACAATAAGACCTACATGGCGTTTTTGCCAGCTATCGGATAAAATTGAGTTTTTTCTTGATCATGGAATAAGAAAATATTCTGCCTTGGCAGTCCGTATTTCAAACTTTCTTGGACAAAATGGTTTCTGTAATCCACTCGAATCATAAAATAATATAAGTTATTCAATGATTCGAGTGAAATACAGAAAATATTCTTCCCGAGAAGGTCTGTATTTCATGAGAAATCATTGAATAACGTTTTTATTCCATGATAACTCAGATAAAGCCCCCTCCCCCACAAATCAAGTCCATTTCTTGGCTTGGGACCAGAGAAACAGATGAACCTTCTCACCTCATAGATATTCTTGATTGATATTCCTTCAAAATCAATGATTCGAGTGAAATATTGCATTGAATAATATAAGTCAAGCCAAGGATTAACGAGTTAAAACTTTTCTTTCAAAAATGTGTTTCAGAATGAAAGACCATTTAGGCATCACAATAAGCAAGAATATTGATAATATAGCGATAAAAGTGGTACAAATGATAACAACCCTGTCCCATACTATTTCTTATCATCGTCTCTAGTCTTGCTTTAAGACCCTGTATCCCTAACCTCTAACAACCGTGATGTTTAGAAGGAGAGTCTGTCCAAGACGACATCGTCTCAAGCCTGTTCAACTCCAGAACTCAATGCCAGGATTGGAAACCGAATAAGCAGATGATAACAGGGTTAACAAATCAATTACGATAATAAGGATAAACATTTAAATCTAAATGTAGAACTAAAGGAATTGGCAAATTAGCATATATTAGCGGTAAAAGTGATAATTTGGATAAAATTAGTACTATGGCTATTTTCGCTAACGAAAAGTAATAGTATCTGCTAACGCTAATTTTAGATGTGCCCAGTTGACGATTCTGACCATTTAACACAATCAATTGACGATTTATTAATTTTCATAATACTTCCCATTAAAATAAGATAGGGACAGAAATAATAAGCTCGAAGTGACATTCCCCACAAAGCTTAAAATGATATCGTACCAATTTTTAATAGCAGCTACACAGGCTACTTCTAAAGTTGGAGGTGTGGAGGTAGTTGTCGACTTGTATAGATTCTCTCCGGAACTCGGATACCTAAATGCGTTGTTTGATCCATCACTGTGCTCGAAAGCATGTCTCGCAGCTAAGTCATCTGACCAAGCTTGTGCAGTTGCAGCCAATGCAGAGTTATAACTCAGTGGGTCGGTACTGAGGTGGAGGTTACGGACCTCATTATGCTTGCTAGTACATTGCATATTGAAATCTGATGGCTCAGTTGGGGGCTCGGTTGGTGGCTCGGTTGGTGGCTCAGTTGGGGGCTCGGTTGGTGGCTCAGTTGGGGGCTCGGTTGGTGGCTCAGTTGGCGGCTCGGTTGGTGGCTTAGTCGGTGGCTCAGTTGGGGGCTCAGTTGGCGGCTCAGTCGGGGGCTCGGTTGGTGGCTCAGTCGGGGGCTCGGTTGGTGGCTCAGTTGGCGGCTCGGTTGGTGGCTCAGTGGGTGGCTCAGTTGGGGGCTCAGTTGGCGGCTCAGTTGGGGGCTCGGTTGGGGGCTCAGTTAGGGGCTCGGTAGGTGGCTCAGTTGGTGGCTCAGTTGGCGGCTCGGTTGGTGGCTTAGTCGGTGGCTCAGTTGGGGGCTCAGTTGGCGGCTCAGTTGGTGGCTCGGTTGGTGGCTCAGTTGGCGGCTTGGTTGGTGGCTCAGTTGGGGGCTCGGTTGGGGGCTCAGTTGGCGGCTCAGTTGGGGGCTCGGTTGGTGGTTCAGTTGGCGGCTCAGTTAACGGTTTAGTTGGGGTAGCGGTTGGCGGCTCAGTTGGCGGGTCAGTTGGGAGTGTGGTTGTTGGTTGAGTTGGTTTAGTTGTATAAGATCTACAGTAGCATCTAACATATTTCCGACCGGAGGATTGTTTCTTTTTTGCATCCATTTTGCCACAATCGGGTCTTGTTCCTTCCTGGCAGATGCCATCGAGAATGATTTTTGTTCCCTTAAGTTTACCCACCTTCTCTCCTTCTCTCCTTAAACAACCCCTTGGAACAGGAGCATTCGCTTCAATATCGCACTAAAGAAAGAGATGATCCAAATAACTAGCCTGATAAGAGAATTTCGTCAAAAATGCAAGAAGTAAGATATCATTTGGTGCGATTACAAAATAGAAACGTCTCTCATAAGCCGCACTGGCTGGGGCTGTGTTTTAATGATATTTTAGTACTACTAGTATTTGTAAAATAAATCTGCTGTGAGACGAAAAAAAAAAATAGATATATATATATAAAAAACATTCACAATTATTCAATGGTGGTTTTATAGTACTAGCATTTGAGGATGGATAATCCGCCGAGCTCACTGAGCTAATACATATAGTCCCGACCCCGTACCTTAGCCATGCTTCCACAGAGCAAGCTTACTGTATCATGAGATCCGGTGTAAAATTATTATGGTCCCCTTGGGATTATGGTCCCCTTACCTTACGGCCCTTATTGGCCCTGACCAGGACCACCTACCCTTTTACACCGGGCATGAGGTCTGGTAATACCCCATGTACAGGGGTTGATACTCTTCAAAAATTTAACCCTTCAAGCTGTAGAATCGCAAATAATTCTTAAATAATACTAGTTTATCAGTGTTTTGTGCTATACATGATGATAGCATTGATTAAAGGTTGTTGAAAATAAGTTAATTCGTTATGTACAGCATGTTTCACTGAAAAATTCTATAAAGTGTCATTGTAATTTCTTTAATAGTCTACTTTTTGAAAAATTATCCCAACAAATGTTCAATCAATAAAATAACGCATTTTTTCATTGAGCTATTTCAGATGTTTGTGATTATTTTCTTCTTTTTCTTTTTTTTATCTCTTAGAGATTTGACTTAGTGTGGCATAAACGTTATGGTTAGTTAATCGACATAATAAGATAATATGTTAATAAAATGTCTTCATTGTTTTCCCTGAATAGTGTGTTGCTACGGCATAATAAGGTGACCATCTGTATGCTTTCCCAGGTTATTTTTACGACGATTTTAAAAAACAGTAATATTAATCGGTCATTTGCTAAAAAAATCCTTGAACTTTTTATTTTTTCGATTTGTTTCGCGACTTTTGGTAAGGTTCTCCAAAATTTTATTATCGAATATCTGATATTTTTTATGTTTGAAATTCGGTTACCTTTTTCCTTTTGTAAATGACTTTGTAGTCTGCGGAGACAACGTAAACCCACGTAACGACCACGAGGAATACACAATTCCAGTGAAACAATTCCATTATTTGTCACCAATTACCAGCTTGAACACTCAGTTGTATTTAACTGAAATGAAAAAAAGATTATAGAAATTCTTGATATTGTATTTGAAGATCTGTAGTTCGGGGAGTGCATAATTGCTGAAATTTTATGCTCATTTCTTAAAAAAGATTATAGAAATTCTTGATATTTTATCTGATGATATTTCATGCTCATTCCTTAACAAGTCTAGATGCATACGATTTAACATTGAGAGTTTTTTAGGTACCTCTGAAATCCTTGGCAATGTTTCGATGACGTTGATGCGAAATGTAAAATTGAATTAATAAAAAATATTCATTATGCACTGCTCACCTTTCTATGAAATCCTGTGTCGGAGTGGAGAAGTTCAGTCTGCTTTGGATATCGAATGAATGGTCAAATGGTTATCGACACCCTTTATATATCTGCAGAGTGGGCCAGAAAAAACGTCCATATTTCTTATTTTGCGATAACTTTCAATAATGCGTATATTTGAGAAATACTTTTTGATGGAGCTGCAGAAATCAATTTATTTATGCCATTGTGGGATCGATTGCAAAATTTATTGCTGCAATCCCTGTCAAAATACTATTGAAATCGAATCGAAAAATTAAAGCAAACAAAAATGGACGTTTTGGCCCAACCACCCCTATACATACATACAGTGGGCATATGCATCAACGGCGTGTCATTATATGATTAGGAAAATCCGAATTCATCAAAAATCTGGGTGAATTATGAAAAAAATCATTGCCGTGATATTCACATTGTTTAACCAATCGTGTATCTTCCAGCTTGTTAGTAAAATGTATGTGGAACTAGGGGCAGGATTTCGTATGTCTTACTTATACGATAAAATATACCCTTTGTATTCGTTCGACTTCGCTTCTTAAAAGAGGGTTTCGTCTTCAGTTTATAAATAGACTCTGGGCGCAGGGTAGATAAAATATCCGTTTTATCAAATATGTGTATTCTCCGACACCGTTGTCGAATTGACATACAGTATACAGTATTGTTAATTCACAAATTGTCAAAAATTGCACAAGGGGTGCCTTAATTAGTATTTTCAAAAGGCAGTCATAAAAACATACAGTTGCCGGCATGGTGTCAAATAATTGGTATCCTCCGGACAATAAGATATTAGCTATGCCTATAATAGATATTAATGAGACTTCTTGTATGAAGTATTTAAACAATATGTATTCGAATTAAGAAATATAGACGGAAGAGCAGGTGTTATATCGACAAATAGATACCGCAGGGCTAGGCACAAACGCTTTCTGTACCCGAACGATCAAAGGGACTGAGGGGTTCGAAAGCGTTTGTGCCTAGCCCTAAGGTACGTATTCGCCGCCATTACTACGGCCCGCCGCTCTGACGTCACACGACTCATATTACCAGGTGCTGTGTGTCGACGAATACAAACCGGGTGAAATATTGACTTTGTTCACAGTTTATAGAAGGCGTGAATAGAGTCATGTTAGAATTCTGAATCTAGAGTGATAGTAAAATAGTATTTTGGTCAAATAAATACGTAAAACAGATGCAGCAGAAGGTAAAAGCGATATATTGGGAACCTGTATTTAAAGTATTCAATAAAGACATTTCTTTGCACTAAAGTAAGAGTATCAGGTACAGGCTTGCACAGGTGAAGTTGTATGTCCCGTGTCTTACAAAAAATCTTAAGTTATTGCTATTGACATAGACGATCATTCAAAACATCTTTGGCTAATATTTTCAAACGATCGTGTTTGAATTATACGTTTTAAATTGTAATTGTTCATTACAAAATTCTGAAGAAACATCTTCATCTTTAATTGAAACATTCTATAAATAGTTTAATTATGTTAACTAATCCAATTTAATTAACTTTCAAAAGAAATAACATGATTTCTCATTTCTTTGGAAGTCCCTAAATTAGCGAGAGGACAAGGAAACAATTATGCCGCTAACGAAATCATGAAATATCACGTGTTTCCTACACAATTCAAGAAGGAACGTCGCAATTTTTGTATCTAATTTATATTTCATTTTTTCTATTTTTCGATGTATCATTTATCGTAAAAAGGTTCTTCTGCTTTTGACATTTTATTCATGTAAAAGTCATTACAATAGATGTTAAAGAGTAAGTGGCAGAGCTACGTTCATGTAACCTATTGACTTTTTTGGAACACTTTCATGGAGAACATTTTTGCTTCCACAAGTTTTATTGTAATTGCAAGAGAGTGTACAATAAAAAATAAATAAGCAATGTACATACTAATTAACAGATAAAAACTGACATATTTCATTAGAAAAATTAATGACACAATCGGTAATTAGATTTCAAAATATTGTTTCAATTAGTTCTAAACAGGTGACACAAACAACGGACAATGCACATCATGATTAAAACTGGCACATTTTCCTGACAGGAAACTCCATTCATAAAGGTCAACATGGTCAAATCGGTAGATTTCTATGCATATATCCACCTTACATGAAAGGCCATTGTTTTGAATCGGAAGTTTGGCTGGATCGTACAAGAACATGGGTTTATTCTCGGAAATTAGTATAATTACAGTTATTTGTACATTTATTGTCAAATGTCAAAAAAACAATAAATTAAACATTGTTTTTGTTTTTGTTTATCGTTTGTCATTATTTATGTTATTTGTAGATGTTGCCGTCTACTTTAAATGATATGACCTTGTATGGAATAGCAGATAAGACAAAATCAGATCTGTTCTATTTCTACAATTGAATTTTATATTCAATTGTTTATGGTCATGATGATTCTATATTTAGTGAGCTCCACTAAATCATATATCAAGTCAAATCAAATCACAACATTAACTAAGTTATACCCTGAAAAATCACCTTATGTGATCATTAATTTGGCATTTTCACTTCGACGACTGTAACTTCTCTTAATAAAACCTGAGTCAGTTCTAACTGAAAATGTTACTTAATTTTTTCTCTGGATTACCAAGATTGGAGCAATAGTCAAAGTTAAAGTGAAAAAGTCAAAGTGGAACGCCTCTGGAAGTGGAACACCTTTCTCATGAACTGAATGTAAATTGACCTCTGAATATTGAGCACGTCCAAAGTGGAACACTAACACAAAAGACGTTCCACATTGCAGTAATTATCTCAGTGTGTATGGATAGAACTGACAAAACATTTTATGCTTTATTTTGACAACATTGCTTTATTTTGGCAATATATCTCTGTCATCATTACATTACTTTATTTCATTGGATATCTCAATAATTTTTACAGTAAAAAAGTACTCAAAAGTGATGATGGAACATGTACTGTTTGTGCCAAATGTATTGAATTATTAAATATCAAGGAAAACTACAATTTAATTTATTCTTGATTAATTGATAAACGAACATCTATTGTCATTTAGATATAGAAATCTTTTTGGCAGCTTCGACTAAGTTGTTTTCCGTAGCTTTGCTATTAGAGTCACTTTCTTGTTCATCTTCGTCATATTCATCATCGTCGTCTTCTTCATCATTGTCTGGATCATAATCTGAATCATCATCGTCATCATCATCATCATCGTTATAGTTGGTGTAGTTTCCATAACTAAAGTCCCCACCAGATGCACCTGTAATAATTCAAAATGCTTCAACTGTAGGATATGAAGGTTATGTATTGGGGGGTTTGGATACAGGGTTTATCCCAAGGAAAATATGTTTTACTCCACAGGGACCACAGGGCTGGAGAGATACTCATATTCTCCAAAAAATGGATTCACCCCACTCCCTAGATACACAATATATTCCTGGAGCAGGTGAAATGCTTAATATTTCCAATATATACTTAAACTCCAATAACCTCTCTAATCCAAACATTTTTAGACCTCCATTGACTTAAACATTAATAAAAAACAACTTGAAATGTGAATACATCAATGATCCACACAACTTTGTCGGGTTCCATTGGAATGATGAATTAGGTATTTACTGTGGAGTTCAACAAGAGCCTTGGTTTCTTTACTAATTGACTTATTTTAAGAAGCTCTGAATAAACATGGCAAAACACACTGTAAAACCAAGGGTTTGAAATTAACATTTGCCTTGTTGCCAATGTCAATCAATTCTAACTGTTGCTGGGCAACTGAATGTCACTACTAGTATGGTATATCATGCCACTAAATCTTAGCCATGAACCCTGACACAAAGCCTTTAAAGTTTGAAGGCCCCATGTAAAGTTTGAAAATATATTATTTTCATTCATTTACTATTTTTCTTGGCTATAAAAGATTTTGGAAAACAATATTTTTGGGGAAAAAGGTAAAATTGCATATCATACCTCCGCCACCCCCACCATAGGTGTTAGCATCAACATTGCCCCAGCGACTGGCATTCATATCAGATTCAAACTTTGTCTGGCGTCCAAAATCATAAGTCCTCGCTAAAAATAAATAAATCATTATCAGTTAAAATCAGTGAGGTAGTAGGGCGACAAAAATTGAACTTGTTATATGAGGCCTTGAGGCCTTGTGCTAAGAATACTTGGTTCATTTTCAGGGTTTCTATTTTTTAAGGCTATTATTTTAGAAAATCTCCTTAGTAATTTGGGAGGAGAATAAGCTTCCTACTTATGTTTTAAACGATGCCTGCGAGTCCACAAAAATTGGGGAAGAGGGAGGGACGAGTTGCCTATATTACTTACTTGACATTGAATAATCCTTGGTCTCTTTCGTCTCATGGCCACACTTGGGACATGGAAAAGCTTGTCCCTTATTGTACTTCACCCCCTTTCTCCTTACATGGTCATCGCAGTAACATACTTTGCACCTCAAACAAGAGAACTGACCAAGGCGATTACATGATAGACCTAAAACATATATATGTATTCATGTACGTATTCATGTACGTATTTACATTGAAATCTTGCATCCCAAAATTGAGAACTGATCAAGGCGATTGCACGACAGACCTTGAAATTAAAATTATCAAATATGAGGTTCAGTGTATTGATATCATGGCAAACAACTAGTACTGGAATGACAATAATACCTGCTTGAGAGCTGAATGTCCCTAGAACATATGTATAGTCATGTACATTTACATGTATTTTAGCTACTTGTACTTACATTTGTAGTTCTCTGCCTCCAGTTTCTGACAACTGGCCTGATGTTCAAACTGGTCATCTTCACAAAGGAAGCTATTGCAAAATGAGCATTTTAGAATCCTGCCTCCTGGAAAAATCAAAGTTGGATCAAACTTTCAAATATTTTATACACATGCTGAACTGGATTTTTTAGTAATAGTGACATCTATTTTATTTAAAAAAATATACTTATGTAAGTCTAGAGACAGTGTCAGAGTAGTGTCCTCTAATGTGTGGGGGAATATAATTTGTTTTTGTAACTGGATTGGGAGAGGATGCTCAACACAGTAAATTATGTGAGGTATATTACACTGGTACTGGTGTACTGGCTTATAATAAAATGCTACATGAACTGCATTTATCAGTAAAATAATTTGAAGATTTAAGCCCTGAACTCAGTGCAATGACCATTCCTTGAAGGTGTTGCTTTCCAAAATTTGCATGAGATGTGCAGCATTGCGTGTTAATTTTAGGAAAAAATGCCTGAAAGGAGAGGTCATTCCACAATGCATTGAGTCTTGGGCTTAACAGATTCTTTTCACACATTGCAAAATATTTTCTACCATGTCACTTAAAAGATACAAAATCACTAAAAGAACATATTTGCAATGAAACTTTTGCAAGGGTCGAGCTGGCAAATCATCAGTTTTAATCTATAGAGTCAAGTTGTCACCTTGACAAACATATAAGGAATGACCTTGGATGCGATGATTAGTTATATAATGCACTGCAGTTATATGAAATTCTGTGTTCGGATTGGCTGGAATCAGACACACCTGGCACCTGATTCTATGTGTGAATAAGTAATCATACCATGATCCCAGACTCCACGTTGACATTCCAGACAATCAGCATCTATCAATGGACAGGTACAAGCATGAGTGGTCACACATTTCCTTCCATGACAGACCCAGGCCTCACAGAAATCACATACTGCTCCCTGGAAAAACAGTACATGGTGTCAATACAATATAATAATAATGATATTGGTATTTAAATACAATATGATATCAGTAGATTACAATATGATATCAGTATATAAAATATGATGTCAATAATATTATGTCAGTACAATACAACATGATGTCAATATAATACAATAAGACATCAGTAGAATTCAATATGATATTAGTACAATACCATATAACATCAATAAATACAATATGGTGAGAGGACTTGTTATAAGGTGGATTGCTGGATTATATATAGTTTTTCAAATGAATTTTTGTTGTTTCCAAATGAACAAAATTAGATTTTGCTAAAATAATGCTAAAGTTTAATGAGTTTAAGAGTTTGAACCCCCTCGTTGAAGCCCCTTTGAACCCCCTCATTGAAGGCCCTTTGAACCCCCTCATTGAAGGCCCTTTGAACCCCCTCATTGAATCAAGCAACATAGTCCTGATTTACATAATGACATTGTTCACTCCAATCATTCACAGTTTGGTCCAAATTTTTATATTCCCGCATTGCATAATACACCTCTCTTTTCAGAATTTGAATAAACTCACCACCATGGCCATTCCAGTCGCATACTGGCCACCATGTTTAATAATACAATCTCCAGATTTCATCATGCATTTTGTCTTGCCTGAAATCAAACAGAACTTTATTTGAATCATAATTTATCATGAAAATAAAATAAGTGATCTACATGCATATTAAATATCATTTCCCATTTTTTTAAGAATGAAATATATGACTATTTCAACTATTTCCTTTATATTACTTTGGTGTAAAATACAATATGGCTTAGTTTATAAAATGTCACAAATTTTAATTCAAAAGTGGTTCTGCACTACCAATCCCTTATATTTTTTACCAATTGTTTTTATGCAGGCTCACATAGGGTGGTATTGAGATAATCTAAATTCATGCCATTATCATTTGTGAATAATGCACAGGTTTGCAACCAATTTGAAAACAGTTCACTTACCGCAGTGTCCACACATTGGAAGTCTTTGGACGGACTGGCAGAAATAGCAGAAAGCTCGATTCTTCTGACGTCTCTTGCATGAGTCACATTCCTGAAATACATGAACAATAATGTCACAATCACGGGCTTTATAATTTCATAGATCGGGCTGCTCCACCCCTGTTGTATTATCTGATTGATCATATTTGATTGTGTTATTTCGTGATACTATACTTGTGTTTATTTCGTGACATACTGTATGCACGAGCGCCATCTTTACTTATATAGTCAGCCATCTTGATGTACATGTGTAAAATATTTCAAAGTATAATATAGACATAAAACTCAACATAAAACATTGTTATTGTCGTCATATTATAACAGAACATGGTGTCAGATATATATTTCTACACTGAGGACAGTTCAAACTGCGTAAAAATCGACAGTGGGAGCCGATGTTGATGGATTATTGTGGATATTTTGAAAACCAGGTGACATTTTTCCTCGGAAAATAAGTTATATTTTCGAAAATATCATATCTCAACATACTAGATCTTACTAGACAGTACTCCTGTATATATATGTGCATATTATAATATTCAACAACATATGATATATGTGAACTGTACCAAATCAATATGGCAAATCTGCTTGTTCAACCTCCTGAGCCATTGGACTCCTCAAAGCCAGAGTTATGGACAAAATGGATAAGGCGATTTGAGCGGTATATGATAGCTTCAAACCTAAATGAGTCTGGAGATAAAACTCAAATTAACAGTTTAATTTACCATATGGGAGAATTCGCTGAGGATATCTTCCAGAGTTTTACTTTTACCGCAGCTGATGAAGACAGTGAAAACTATAAGTGCGTCAAAGCAAAATTTCAAGAATACTTCATTGTTCGACGTAATGTTATATTCGAACGTGCTACATTTAACAGAAGAATTCAAGAAGACGGTGAGTCCGTTGATAATTTCATTACTGATTTGTATTCCTTGTCGGAGCATTGCGACTTTGACGCTCCTGTTGTGGGAGAAACTCGTCGTGAACAATTCATCAGAGACCGTATTGTGGTCGGTATATCAGATGCTCGATTGTCAGAAAAACTGCAACTCGACTCAAAGTTAACACTAAAATCTGCAATGGACGCTGTGAAATCCAAGGCAGCTGTTCATAAGCAACAAGAACAGTTAAGAATCCCTACTAGCCAGTCTGCGATTCAGGAAGTCTCCAATTCGAAAGGCGGTTTTAAGGGCAATAGGAATCGTTCACATAAGAAGAGGAGATCAGGACAAGACAAATCACCAGCTAATGCTACAAATTCTAAGTGTACCAGATGCGGTGGAACGCCACATATTAAAGCTAAATGCAAAGCCAAAAATTCACAATGTGGGAAATGTTCCCGATATGGCCACTGGGCTAAATATTGCCTATCTAAAGTCGATAACGTTGATCATGTTACAGCGTCTAGAGATCTTGATCATGCCTTTATAGGGTTGTTGACTTCCAACAAACCTGAGTGTGATGAATTTGATACTTTGTTGATGTTAAATCAAAAGCATGTGCAGTTCAAGCTAGACACTGGAGCAGATGTTTCAGTTATCACACCCGAAATTTACAATACTGTTAAATCATCATGTTCAAAGATTCAAAAACCAAGTAAAATCTTGTATGGTGCTGGTAAACATGTATTGAAATGTACTGGCATGGTTAGTGCCAGTGTGTCAGCTGGTAATAAATCTTGCAAGCAGGATTTTTACATAGTAAAGGGCTTACAAAAATGCCTGTTGGGTAAACCTGCCATAAGATCTTTAGGTCTTCTATCTGTGAATGCCAATTGTAACTTGAAATCTAATCACAGTCACATTGAACAAATTTCAAACTCAGAGAGTAGTGATATATACTCTAAACATGCAGAGCTTTTCACAGGCTTAGGAAGACTTGAAAAATCTTATGAAATAAAACTCAAATCTGATGCTCAGCCTTTCGCTCTAACCACTACGCGCAATGTAGCTTTACCATTATTGCCTAAAGTTAAGGCTGAACTTGAAAAACTTGAAAGTTTGGGGGTCGTCTCAAAAATTGATGAACCTACAGAATGGTGCGCTCCCTTAGTGGTTGTAGTCAAAGACGAGCATAATGTTAGATTGTGTGTTGATTTTACCAAACTCAATGAAGCTGTATGTGTTGAAAAGTATACACTTCCAAGTGTAGATGTCACCTTGGGTCAGCTGGCAGGGGGGCAGGTATTTACAAAGCTAGACTGCAATTCTGGATTTTATCAAGTACCCTTAGATCCCAAGTCCCGTCATTTGACCACATTTATCACTCCATTTGGGCGGTATTATTTCAACAGAGTTCCTTTTGGGATAAATTCAGCTCCTGAACATTTTCAGCGAAGAATGAATGAAATTTTAGCTGGAATGTCAAATGTTGTTTGTCAAATGGACGATATTCTTGTCTTTGGTAAGGATACTGCTGAGCATGACAAGGTACTTGAAAGTGTCCTTGTGAAACTCAAAAATGCCGGTGTGACGCTCAACAAAAAGAAATGTGAGTTTAGGAAAACCACTATCAAATATCTGGGTCATATAATCAATGGGAATTCAATTTCCGCTGATCCTGATAAAGTGCGTGCAATCATTGAAATGCCGAGTCCGACAGATGTTTCGGGAGTTCGTAGATTTTTGGGGATAATCAATCAACTCGGGAAATTTTCACCAAATCTGGCTGAAAAATCTCAACCAATTCGCGAACTTCTTAAAAAAGACCGTGCGTTTTTGTGGGACATTGCACAGCAAAATGCTTTTGAAAGTATAAAAGCTGAAATCAGTAAACTACCGGTTTTGAAAATTTATGATTATAATCATGAAACCAGAGTTTCGGCTGATGCTTCAAAATTTGGGCTGGGAGCTTCACTGGAGCAACGTCCTCCAAAGGGAGAATGGCAGCCGGTAGCTTTCGCATCGTGTTCTATGTCAGAAACTGAAATGAGATATGCACAAATAGAGAAAGAGGCTCTTGCGATTACATGGGCTTGCGAGAAATTCGCGACATTTCTCATTGGTCTCAAGTTTCACATTCATACAGATCACAAACCGCTTGTTCCACTTTTAAGTGTCAAAAATCTTGATGAGTTACCTGTTAGAATACAGCGCTTCAGAATAAGGCTTTTCAGATACAGGTATACAATCTCGCATGTACCAGGTAAGAACCTTATTATACCCGATGCTTTATCGCGAGCACCGCTTAGTGAAGTGGGCGATAATGTTGACCTAGAATCGAGCGCAAATGCTATGATCGATTCAGTGTATAGAAATCTTCCTGCAACAGAAGCAAGATTGGAACAAATCAAACATGAGCAAATGAATGATGTAATATGCCAAGCAATTACTGAATACACAATGAATGGTTGGCCTGAAAGATCAAATATTCCCGGTGTTTTGAAACCATACTTACAACATCGCGCAGAATATAACTTAGTCAATGGCTTACTTATGCGAGGCGAACGTATTATTATCCCGTCTAATTTGAGATTGGAAATGCTAGATCGCATTCACATGGGGCATCAAGGAATTGTTAAATGCCGCGAACGTGCAAAACAATCTATGTGGTGGCCTGGTTTAAGCAAACAAATCGAAGATGTGGTTTTTAAATGTACTGTGTGTGCTGAACATAGGAAAAATCACTCAGAACCACTCATTCCAACTGAATTTCCTCAGTTTCCATGGCAATTACTTGGAACAGACTTGTATACACTCAAAGGAGTTACATATCTTCTGGTGGTAGACTATTTCTCCAGATATGTTGAGGTAGCAAAATTGAATGGTCTTTCCTCCAGTCAAATCATAACTCATTTGAAGTCTATATTTAGCAGACACGGTATTCCGCAGAGGGTAAGGTCGGATAATGGACCGCAATTTTCATCGCGAGAATACAAGAAATTCGCTAAAGAGTACAATTTTGAGATTACAACGAGCTCTCCTATGTTCGCTCAGAGTAATGGCGAAATTGAAAGGGCGGTGCAAACAGTCAAAAATCTAATTAAGAAATCGCGAGATCCTTATGTATCTCTTTTGGCTTATAGGAGCACCCCTCTTGCAAATGGGTATAGTCCCTCTGAGCTCTTATTTGGAAGGAAGATTCGTAATCATATTCCTCAAGTCCCAAGTCTCTTGAAACCAAATTGGCCATTTTTACAAAATGTAAGGGAGAGGGAAGTGAAATACAGGAATCAAAGCAAATTGAACTTTGATAGACATCACAGGGCTTCAAGCCTAGAAAAGCTAACACAGGGTGACAATGTCTTTGTTAGTGATATGAAACAACATGGTACTGTAATTGAGAAGTTACCATTTCCAAGGTCGTATAGGGTAGAAACACCTTCAGGTAAATCCTTTAGAAGGAATAGGTCATCTTTGGTTAAGTGTACACCACCATTATTTCATAGGTATGAAGATCAAGATGATCTAAATGTACATACAGACTCAAAAGAGTCACAGTCATCTATGGTAGTTGATAATGCTGGATCACCAATTAGTGGTTCTAGCCAGGTTGAGGTTCCGGTTGAAAATAACCCAAGTGTTAACAGTGAACCTATATTGAGAAGGTCTCACAGATTGAGGAAACCTGTTAAAAGACTTATTGATGAGCTATAGTGACATTATTTACACTATGTATGATTTAGAGAGAGTTAGAGACTGTATTACCAACTCTTATGAACATTTAAATTCTTACATAGTTTTAAGTCTTATGGACATTATTAGTTTAAGTGTAACATACGAAGTAGTAACACAATCAAAGGCTTCCAAAGGGAGATGTTGTATTATCTGATTGATCATATTTGATTGTGTTATTTCGTGATACTATACTTGTGTTTATTTCGTGACATACTGTATGCACGAGCGCCATCTTTACTTATATAGTCAGCCATCTTGATGTACATGTGTAAAATATTTCAAAGTATAATATAGACATAAAACTCAACATAAAACATTGTTATTGTCGTCATATTATAACAGAACAACCCCTTTGACTATCTGAGTTTTAATGCATGAGGTGTACTTAGAATCTGAACACAAATTCTCGGTAGAAGTTCATATGGTGAAAATAACGAAATAATGAAATGGTTCCGTGTGTCTACTTAACAGTTTGTTCTAGGTCATCCATCCTGCTAAGTTACATTGTGGAACGCAGCCAAACACGACACTGAAGGCAACAACATGTTGATGTTGATCTTAGCAGAATTTTGGGAAATTTAGATCGTCCATTTTGCAAGCTCATGTGACTCACACGTGATACGTGTCTGATCACGTGACTAGTTACTGTATCGATCATGTCACTTAATGACGTCTCAATGACGTGTTACCCAACCATGTCTTCAAGGAAAACGGAAGTAAATATTTTGGAAAATGTTTTCCGAGCATTTGCTACTGATTATAGAAGGCCCAATTACGCACCAAACGAAACTGCTAAATTGTATTTCGTGCCTAACAAGCCCAGTACGCAATGAAAGAAACTGCTAAAAATTGTATTTTTAGTCTGCTTATTGATCTATTGATTCATAAAGACCTGAAATGATGCATTCAAATAAGACCGCCTCCTAAATGAAAACACTACACATAAAGTGGTGAAAAACAACGAACTAAAGTTGAAAGATCGCAACGTTCGCTACTTTGTTCAATTCCGGAAGTCTCCAAGGGGCTGCAGAAAATGGGAAATTTTTACGATTTAGATTTTATAACCTCAGAATACTGCCTTCATTGTCGTGTTTGGCTGAGTTCAACAATGTAACCTTGCAGGATGGATGACATAGAACAAACTGCTACAGTGGGGATCATAAAGAATTGCAAAAGCTATGAAAATTACATGCTGTCGCACATGTAATAAATTCTTACCTCAGTGTATTCAGTGACTCTATTTTCTCCGTCTTAGTAAGTCCAAATATAGTGGAATTTGTGTCCCTAATGACAAATAAGAACTTCAAAAGTTGAATTGGATATTCACATGTTATGCCGACTCTTCAAATGTTGAGGTGATTTTGTCGCCCGATTGCGCCGGAATGGAGGATTGGCTCCCAGAATGCAACATGACAAGTGCCAGCTTTCAAAATGCTGTTCCACCATTTTGAAACCTGTCATGAGTAAATACGGTTAACTGATGTTGCATTCTGGGAGTCAACCGTCCTTGGATAACAAACATGGCGATTCATCATCATCATCATCATCATCATCAGTATTAAGACTAGTTGGTTACTCCAGTTATTAGTCTCATCTGTTCAAACATAGTTTAGATCTGAGCTTTAGTACAAACTTTAAGGACAAAAAGGGGGGAAACCTATAGCCGGTAGTGTTGATACACCCAGTGTCTGTCCAGAGCTGTCTTGAAGACATCCAGATTTTCTGCCTGTGCCACTTCTGTAGGGAGACTGTTCCAATCATTAATGATGCGTTGACTGAATGTGTTTTTCCTTACATCTAGTCTGGACCTTTGCTTATAAAGTTTGTCCCTGTGCCCTCTGGTTGCACTGTCATGTTTGGTGAAGAATAAACCACTGTCAAGATTTTCTAAATTGTTCAGTATTTTATACACCTGGATCATATCTCCGCGTTTCCTTCTATATGCCAGGGAATAGAGTTTGAGACTACTTAGCCTTTCTTCATATGGTAGATCTTGTAAACCATTGATTAACTTGGTCGCTCTACGTTGAACTTTCTCTAGTTTGCTTATATCTGCTTGATACCTTGGACACCAGATTACATTATTATATTCCAGGTGAGGTCTGACTAGAGTCTTATACAATGGTATCAGTGTATCCTTATCTCTATATGTCAAGGTGTATCTTATGGCCCCAAGTATACTATTGGCTTTACTTGTGCATTTATCCACTTGTTTATGAAACTTAAGTTCATTATCAATTGTAACTCCCAAATCATTTTCTTCTGTTACTGTCGTTAGTTTCTCGCCTTCCATTGTATAGTCATGTTTTGGATTGTTGGAGCCAAGATGCATCACTTTGCATTTGTCTTTATTAAATTTCAGTAGCCATTTGTTACTCCATTCTACTAGATTGTTTATGTCTCCTTGCAGCCCTTGTATTTTCTCTGCACTGCTGACTGGAGCATATAGTTTGGTGTCATCTGCAAACATTTTAGCTATGGTTGTTACTACATCAGGGAGGTCGTTGGCGTATATCAGAAAGCAGATCGGCCCTAACACACTTCCCTGAGCTACTCCACTGGTTACGGTCCTCCATTCGGATAGTTCTCCATTTATTCTAACCCTTTGCTTCCTGTTAGTGATGAAGTTTTCCATAAGTTTAAGTAGATTCCCTTGGATTCCATAGGAGTTGATCTTTTCCATTAATCTCTTGTGTGGCACTGAATCAAAACATTTCGAAAAATCAAAATATATTACGTCTAGTGGCTCCCCGTCATCTATTAGTTTTGTCCACTGCTCCATGACCGTCAGGAGTTGAGTGCAGCATGATCTCCCAGGTGTAAACCCGTGCTGTTGGTCAGTTAGTAGATTGTTTTCCATTAGGTGTTTAAGAAGAGTGTCCCTTATAATTGACTCCATAAGCTTGCAGGTAATACAAGTTAGGCTGACTGGTCGGTAGTTACCTGGTAATGTTTTCTTTCCCTTCTTGTGGATTGGAATTACATTTGCTTGCTTCCATTCATCCGGGAGTTCTCCAGTTTCCAGACATTTTGTGAATAATAAGGTCAGTGGTGGTGCCAATTCCTTTGAGGCTTCCTTTAGGATTTTGGGATGTATATCATCTGGGCCTGGGGATTTGTTCACTCTTAGTTTGTTTAGTTGTAGTAGTACTTTTTCCTGTGTAAATTCTACATTATCTAGGGTTATCGTTGTCCTGGGTATAACTCTGGGTATATCTCCATCCTCTACAGTGAAGATTGAGGAAAAGTATTCATTGAATATGTTTGCCTTCTTCCAGTCATCATCAGTTAGTGTTCCGTCTGTTGACTCCATGGATCCTATTTTAGGTCTTGTCTTTAGTTTGGAGTTGACATATGCCCAGAAAGCTTTAGGGTTTTGCTTGGCTTCTTTGGCTAGTTCTCTTTCAAAGGTCCTGCATAGTTCTCTACAGAGTTTTCTTGTTTTGTTACTTTCCCTTTTAGCTTTCACGTAATCTTCATACTTTTTTGTTTCCCTGTACCTCTTCATGAAAACATTCATTCGATTTGGTAGGGATTTATCCATTATTTGCAGGTATGAAGCTTTGGATTCATTTATTGTGCTACTTTAGTGAACGGGAATTATTTTTCTACCGCTTGGGAGTGTTTGAGACACGAAACTTGGAAATAAGCTCATTGTGACAACTTGTGAACGTTGAGTTTTATTTTTGTCCCCCACTGTAAGTAGACACATTAGACTGTATCCTTCGTCTGAATAAATATTCAGACTGTAAGTCACCTATTGTAAAATGTGGTGTTGAATAAATGTTACAAATAAGTTTGTTAAATGATAAAATGATTACCTTGTAAAGTACTTACAATATTATTTTTTCGTATATTGTCCTCTTACTGAAGATATTCATAAAATGTACAGACGCTTCTTGTAGCGAAGCCATTGATTAGGTCAAGCCATTTTGGCAATGCCAATTCTCACGATAAACGAGATTTAGCCAGTGACGTCAGTCTATTTGTAAACAAATAACACGTGGAGCGGACGGAAGCGAGTTGATAAATTCCATTTGTGCGGGAATTCATTAGATCTAGTCATTTATTATCATTATCCCGATTAATTTTCTTCATTTATAGTAAATAGAGCGGAAATATTCATGAAGAAGGCCGAGGTAATCAAGTGGTCATGTGTTGTCAAAGTTCAAAAAATTTGCATATCTCGTTTGGATCTCGTGAACTCAAACGTCCTTGACATTGATTTCGCGATGTACTTATAAACACATCCTGAAGTTTTGGTGAGTCTGAACATTTCATTATTTTATATCAACTTGTACCCGCCTTATACAAATATTTTTGCTTCTAGTTTAAGATGAACATCTCTTCAACATATTCACCAATTTTCAAGGTGAACATTCTTGTAATAAACGAGAAATTTATGTGCAAAAAATATCACCGCGATTTCCATAGGAAATATATCAATCATAACAGACCGAATATTATATTCGGTCTGTTGGATACATACTAGTAGACACATGGTAACATTTCATTATTTCGTTATTTTCACCATATGAACTTCTACCGAGAATTTGTGTTCAGATTCTAATTTTAATATCAAGATAAAGATGCAAGAAATGTGTGAATGTGGAAAAATAACATTTCTGAACAGAGGCCGTGACAGAAAAACTCACCATCATTTCGTTACAAGGATATTTAGTCAATGGTCTTTCTTGATTCCTGATATCCTTCTGTCGTTCCCTTTGTTTTTCAGCTTTCTTACGCGCCCCTGTCTTCCTCTTAGGCATGATTTATTGCAATTTGTTGAAATGCTCCGAATTTTTTTTTCATGTGGCCGGAAGTTGAGACTTGCACCTAACCACATTTATTTGGTGGAGATTAACATTACTAGGAGAAAGTATAAATATAAGTATCATAAGTAACATATTAAGAAGTGATTTTTTATCATTAAAATGTAATTTTTGATTTGTTTTGATTGTCAATATCTAGATATGATAGCTTCAGGTGAAATGTAACTGCCTGTCATGAACCCGGAAGCAAGTTTTTGGACATGCGCAGTTCCATCTCGAAAAAATTATGAGCCGAAAAATATTCAGGTCAATGTTTTGCCATTAAAATGACACTAAGGACTTAACCATATCGACATCAAGATGGTGCTTAAGACACTTGAGTTCAGTGACTGTCTGTCAGACAGTCCGTCTTTCAGAGAGAACCTCCACGCGCACGAGAAAGAGTTAGAAAAAACAAGCAAATCCATCAAGGGTCTAATTTATCACTGCAGAGAGGTTATCAATGCCACAAAATGTAAGTATAATATTATATAACCTTCATCTATAATGCATGGCTGTGGATACCAGTGGTGTATTACTTATAAGTATTCGCTATCACGAAGTGTCATATATAATCATCAATTCAATAAAGTTTGCAGCGCATTATTTATGACAAAATGTAAATTATGTCATGAACATTAATAAAAACGTAAAGGCTAGAGTACCGACAATTGTCGGTACTCTAGACTCTGATGTGGTGGCACGCTAGAGGACCGACAAATAAATTGTCGGTACGGGAGATATGCTGTGTTTACACGCTAGAGGACCGACAAATATTGATTTTCGAATTTTCTGGCGCATGCGCAATGCGCGGGGGGATATTTCAGATATCATACGGATATTTTGGGAACAAGTGCAAAACCCAGGGAGGGCATTAGCCCCGGTTACCCGGGGATTACCAAACCCAGTCAAAAAATGGTAGCCCGGGAACGGGGAATGGTAGTAAACGTTGAAAACCCAATAAAAACATGAACAAGTAAGACGTTAGAGAGCTATAATGCAGAGTAAACGGCTATATATATTCTAAACAGACAGGATATTTCTCCTGAGCCGATCAGGCGTAGAAAGGGGCGTTTGCTACCCATTAGATAGAAGAAAATAGCTAGAATGTTTTTTATTTGAAGCTTATGGTATGAGGTTCCATATCCATCCGCCAAAAGGTATGACCCCTATATAGTCCATTTAAAAACCTGTGGTATCATTCTAAATAACCCATAGTTGGCTTCTAGGGTACCTAGTATGCCACTATTTGGTATCAAAATAAAGAAGAGTTCAACTTTCATTTGAATTACGAAAATAGCGATGTAGGTGAAAATAGTTCCGAACGTGAGCATGTTTACTACGCGTTTGCCCGTCATATCAGAATTGAGGAAGTGGTAGCAAACGCAAGTTACAATAAACGGACGCTGATATCTCAAAAAGTAACCTGACTCCCTATAATTTGATGTAGGTCAATCGAACCCCTTTAGGACAGGTGCATTTTGATATATAACGCTATGGGGGTAAGCTTCAATTTTTGTCGAAATAAATTATGGCTCACTACAAGTTAATGCCTGTACGATTCCATACTGCAAAAGAAGCACTATGTCCCCCCCCTCAAAAGAAGAAAGTAGGTCCTGCCGGGAATCGAACTCGGGACCGAGTGTGTTCGAGTCGTGCTCCCTAACCACTAGCCTACCATTGATGAGGTTATTTCGAAAAGTAAAAGTAGTGGATTTATTTATGAAATTGTCGGCTCTCTAGCAAAAACACGTAGCAGCCACTTGCGTACCGACAATTGTCGGTTCTCTATCTGGCACTACTAGGTGACGATAGAGTGCCGACAATTGTCGGTACCCCAGCAAATACCCCTGGACAGTCTTCAGTACCGACAAAATTGTCGGTCCTGGAGCCACTCCGTAATAAAAATATACCAAGGGAACAATTGTATTTGAAGTCATAAAGTCGTATTCATAATATGGATGCCATCTTGGTTCAAACAATCTCTACCTAAATTGACAGCAATATGAGGCAGCACTACACCCGATTTCCTGGCCTGACTTTGTCGGTAGAAATATAAATATAAGAGTTACCTGAAGATTAGGGAGTCTTACTTACCCTCTAGAGGTTATAACACACATTTCAATGAAACCCTATCACCTTTGTTGCGTCAACCATAGAGCATTTAGCACAATATCCAAGAGGTAAATATGGACCGTGAAAATGAATGATTTCCTTGTAAGTTCCGGAAGTTTCAATATAATAAATTAGCCAACATTGTGAGAATTGAATGTTTGTCTGCGCAGCATTCCATTCAGAGCAATAGTTCAACTGTAGATTATGAAGTTTCTTCTATCTTAGAACAGGCCATCCAAAACATTCTTTCCTAATATTTCAATTATTTTCACATCAGTCATGGTTGGATGACATGTCACAAGATTAAAGTTCAAGGTCAATACATTATTTTGTGATAGGGGCAACGCATCCCGGAAGTAAACACAAGGAAAATTGAAAAGTCCAAAAAGCATTACACAAATTTCAATCAAGTACTGTGCTTATGCTTCATCATGAACAAAACAAAGTTGATATGGTTTCATTGAAATGTGCGTTCTAACCTCTAGAGGGTAAGTAAGACTCCCAATCTTCAGGTAACTCTTATATTTCAAGTTCAAACAACGAGGTCAGGCCAGGAAATCAGGTTTAGATAAAAACATTTTGACTTGATATATCTGTCAACCAAAACATCATTGTGATGCGAGAAAGTATATCCTAAGCCTGGAGGAAATGTCACTCAACTATTTGATGATTTTGAAGTTATGTCTGTACTTTACAGTTTAAAATCAAATTCTGTAGTAATTTGACACCACCTTCTTATTTGTCTCACTGAAATTTTATTGTTTCTCAAAACATATTCTCTCAAAATCAGAAAATATGGTTTTGAGCAGGGAATTTTTTTTACGAAATTTCAGTCACAAAAAATAATGATTTAATGGTTATGCTTCCTCCGGGTGTAGGTTTTACGATTGTTTTAGATATATCTCTTATATTATGATGTTATCAAGGAATCAACAATCAAGGAATACATCGATATCGCTGTAGCCCCATTTTTGATGATCAGCGTTTGACATCACTTGGTTTGTTTCAAAATGTTGTACTTTTATGATTGCAACCAAGTGGTCACATTTTGTCATTGTACCTTGTTCATTGACTACTATGACAGGATTAAATAATATAGCAAATTGCATAATGAAATAATACTTTGACCATTGCAGCATTATCCAAGGCACAAAGAAATTTGTCCCAAAATCTTCAAGATTTCCGCTGGGAGCATATTGGAGAGGAGCAGACTGATGATGAAATCATTATTGGTAAGGACATTTTTGAAATGAATACACTCAAAGAACTCACACGTCACAAATCATGACCTTATGGTAACGGCGTCAGCGCCTAGCGAAGCGTGTTTGGTGTTATAGACTGAACATAACAGATCACTTACCAGTTGGTTATGTCACCACCACATTGTTATTGTCTCTAACTTTTTTGTGGATGGTTTTTGGTGTTTGGCATCTGTAGCATTGCGTCTGTAACATGGCATCTGTAACAAATGGCAGGTGGTGACATTTTGCACGTTAATACCTTGTTATCTTTAATTTAGGTGTATAAGTTTCATTAACCAATCATTAGCCAAACATATTGTAATTATAATAAAACACTTTCCAGTTCCAGGGGTTAAAGTGACCCTTTCCACAAATATCTGAAGAATGAATGGTGGGAGGTCAATTTTTATGTTATCAAGAAACATTATCAAACCATTGACCTTCTTTTTTGATTTGAGCTAAACAAAACTCCCACTTCTGTAAAATGATCATGCATGTACTTTGAATATGTTGCTGACTCTCTTATTGGCTAAGACCTGATCACATGATTATGAAGTTAACCATGAATTCACTTCCATCCATCAAGTTTCATTTTCAATTGAAAATATTACAGAATATGTACCATGTAGTATATACGAGGGATGATCGATAAGTAATGGACACTTTTTTTACATAGATGCTTTTTATAGACCAATCTCTTAAATTTTTTCACCTGTGATACATCATTCAATTTTCTATCAACACTGAAGATTTGGAGACCAAAAATGTAATATATTTTGATTTATCTTTATTTCCATAAGTATATACCATAAAGCATATGACACTGACAAAAATCCTGGATGTGCAATTGATGGAAATAATTGCACATTAATTTGGGTGAATTCATGTTTTTCTCTGCATTAATATAGTCCCAGTTTGTTGAATGGTATATATTTTAATTTACAATACTGATATGTGATGTTTTTATTGCAGCTCGATCACTGAAGGAGTTTGGAAAGCTGATAGCAACTGTTGAAGACGCCAGAGACAATATGGTAAGTTTAGATATTTCTAGCAGCCTGTACTATCCCATGGAATACACCCTTTTCAAGTATGGGGCAAAGAGAGACTCTGATTAAATCAGAATGTAAAAATGGCATCATATCCTGAATTTGGAATGGCAGCTTCACACTGAAATCTTGAAAAGGGTAGAACTTCAAGAGAAGTAATTGCTTCAAGTGTACTTAGATATACATGTTTAATAATAAACAAGTTTATCTGTACCCACTACAGCTCAAATGTCAATGACTCTTGGGTCTCTTAATTTCTTCATTGTACATCTGAACAGGCTTGGTTTCTGGTATTTCACGTATTTCCATCGCTGTTATAGCATCTAAGCCCTGTTATGAAGGACGGACAAGCAAGGAAATGCATGTTTTACAGTTGACATTAATGAAACTTAGAGAGGGTAGACAGGGGCTTCACTAGAATTACTTTAAACAGGCTAAATAAATAAAAACAACAGGCAAATTTATTGGAAATTATAAATTTAACATGGAAAAGTTGAAAAGTCCATAAAAACAACAGGCGATTTTGTGAAAACAACCGGCTTGTTGCCTGCTGCTAATGAAACTACTGGTGGAATTAGAAATCCCTTTTTGATTTTCCCTTTGAGTTTTACACCCAAAGTAGTGCTTCATACAATTTCAGGAATAGACTATTGACTCTTGGTTTGGACCTGTGCTGAATGTATCTCTAAAGTCTCTAGAGTCAAAGTTGAGTAAAGAAATTCGCTCTCAGTCAGGAATAGTTAGGTTCATTAGCCTGATAACTATACATGTATACTCTGTGCATGTACAAGACCAAATTGGTGCCATTAAAGAATATAACAGGAAGTTGTATGTAGGTTTACGTAACTCAGACATATGCAGTATTTTTAGAACACATGCAATGTTACATTATCCAATTAAAGGTGTATCTATCTGCGATTTCCTCTATAAGACAGGTAGTGAGGTTAAACACGCAGACATACTGTAAAATCAATTGACAAGTTGGCACCTCCCCCCACCATCCCCTTCCCATGGAATTACCACCCATGGTCAGCCTCATATTAGATTTCTTAGTTATGACATTATGTTTAAAAAGTCTATCTATAGTATTTTTCTCAGCAAGAAAATGTTCAGAATACTATATACAGACCATAATTTTTTACAGATATGTAAAACATTGATCGGATACAGTTAAACCTTGCAGAGTTCTATATTTTTAATGTCTGAGTCATAAACCTACATACCATTTTGTGACTCAAACATGCAAGCTTATATTTTGGAATGATTTTATCAACAATGATGGAATTGTCTTGATTTCTCTTATAGATAGGTTATATAGAGTTTTGAATGGTGGTCAAGTTGATTGGAAATATGAGCTTTGAAATATGCCATGATTTGCTGAATAGGAAAGTGATTTCTGGGTCTCTTTCATACACATTACCCTTCAGTGATCTCCCCAGGATTTTTTCCCAGGGGGTGCAAAATTCTCATTTTTACAATTCAGACAAAAATTGGTCAAAATATGCCAATTTTTTATGATTTTGGTCATTTTCAAGTGGTTGCAAATAGATTTTCAGGTGGGTGCAAGGCTGCTTTCAAAATCTCAGGTGGGTGCTGCATGCGCTCACTTGCTTGAAGCACCCTATATTGATACAACAAGGATAATGTAGAATCACTACATAGTATAAGCGATACAAATAAGGTTGTCATTGATTGCTGATATATCCTAACTCTGGAATTGGTTAGATCTGGTATATATTGATACATTGTTTTATTTTAACGTTTATCTATGAAATCTGCCATTCTAAGAAGGTATGGAATAAAATTCACTTGTAGAAAATGTCATATAGATTTTACACGGTGAAATATAGTTTTTTTTATTTGTGGGTTTGGAATTTTTGAGTTAACTTGTACAAAACTGATCAAAAATGTGACATGTGTTTTTAAGGTGCGAACCTCAAGTCTTATAATTAATAAATTAGATTGAAGTACATTTATGAGCTAGCTGAGGAACGTTAATGAGGGGGTAGTTAAACATAGAGCAAAATATTTGATATATATCTTTAACAAGGAAACAAATATCAAAATTGGGATACATTTGCTGAAATATTTCAAGACTTAGGCTGTGTAGGCTCAGTGTCCCAAAATTAGTCACACGTTGGCGAAGGGTAAGCTCACATGGCTAATGTGACAGTTACTTTAGGCACAAGTGATTTTGGGCCAAAATTGTCAAATGTGGACTCCTCTGGAATTTTTAAAAAGCTGAACCCTTTTGGCAAAAACTGGCTACAAGGCTGTAGTGACATTGAGATAAAGAGGGATTAGATTTAACTTAACCTTTTTACTTACAATGCTATTTTGATGAAGGCCTTCCTACTTTATACTGCAGTCATATGCACAACCCCAGTAAAATATGTTATTAACTTATTAGTGACCAAGATGAATAAAGGTATGGGTTTCAATTTTTCGGGGCTGTCCTTTGAACTGTATGGAAATATTCTTTTCAATAATGTGAAGATGACAGTGTGACCTTAAGCTTAATATTATAGGATTTTTGCCAAATTTTAAATGACCATACGAAAACCTTATTTCATCTGAAGTATATAAGATATTTTACTCTTTAATCAAAATAAAAGTAGACAAGACATAAGACAGCCACCGATTTGTTTATATTCTCATGTAAGTGCATGGGTCAGAAACCATCATCTCCATTCCCTCCTTGGAAACATGCAGTCAGTTACTCAGATGTGAGTAGGCAGTTACGAGTTTCGCTACCAGGTGGCTTATTTGGGGGAAATAACATTGCAGAGTATTGCAAAGTTCCCATAAACTTGAATATTCATCAGTTTTAGTGGTTCACTTCTCATATTACCCTTATGTATCTGATAGTTATACAAATTGAAATATGTCCAGTAAAAGAAAATGTTATCTGTCGAGTACAATAAAAGATATTTCACTTTTTGTGATTTTGTAACCTGGGGAATCTCCCCAACCTAGACGTCACATTTTCAAAGAAAATTAAATTTTCAAAGTTGATAAACTTTTTTTAAAACCACATTTCTAAATGTTCAATTATTTCTACTCGCATCTAGTCTATTGAGCATTTCCTCATTTTTCTATTTCAAGTTTATCAGGGAATCCAACAGGTAGATAGCTACAGGCTCATTTCACAATAATTAAGTCAATATATTGAGATAGCGTGTTATATTAGTCAGTCCTGATAAAGCACTATGGTTCTAATGTGATTACCTGTACATCTGATAAGTCTACTTCAGGGCTAATCATCATGTAATATACATGTAGTTATATGCTCAGGGTTTAGTCATCAGATTCTCTCCTGACTCTGGTTTTAGTCAATCGACAATCATGTACATTGAAACCTGAACACCTCTCTCTAGTGAGCAATTGTGCTTAGTGAACACCACTTCAAGACACATTTCATATTGACTCCTGTATAAGATCCCATCTATGTACTGTGAACACGTTTTGTGGCTCCATAGGTGTTCACTATATACCGGCTTTACTGTTTGTTATATATCAGGCCCAGCACACCATTTGATGATAGTTGGGGGGGGGGGCATGCTTTTCATGTCAAATATAGTTGCCCTGTCTTTTTGAAAATGCCGTTTGGTGCAAAGTGAGTGTTTCTATTGGTTCCTGACACAGATGTTTATTTTTTACTTCGAATATGTACTACAATCATTTTATGTGAGTTTGTTTATTATTGACATGTCAAAACATGATAAATACTATGTAAATTTGATATTGCAAGTCAATTTGAGCTGAATGATCTCTTACTACATTCCCTTTGTATGAGACAATTTCTTCAACTTTGCATTCCATCAAATCTCGCAAATCTTGTGGGTGAAATATACTTTTGCCTTGATTCTTTTTTTTTAAAAAATGTATGCTTAAATTAACACTAACTATAGAATTCACTTTTGAGAAATACATACAAATTATACATGTACATACTTTGAGTAATCCCGTATCAGGTTCTAAAAGGTGGCCTGGTTTAATGTTCATCTTAGTCTGGCTCAGGACCCAGTGGCCCCCTCCCACTACTTGACTATACACTTTCTCACACAGAGGAGGTGTGCACTATTTTAATCGTATCTCAATAAGTTGAACACATCCCAAGCTGAACACTTCTAACAAAATCAATGGCCTTCAATTTTCATACAGGTTTAACTGGATATGTTGGGGGGGGGGTTACACATGACCTTGATTTGATTCAGAATATGTTACACAAACATACCATTTGTACAGATGTTTAATTTCCACCTGTTTTCTAACTAAATCAAGGATAGTGCATAATACAATCTGGAGCATTACTGTCCACCCTAACTCAATATATAGTATATCATATTAGGCTTGATTTGATTTCTGGAACCATATTACCACAAATTAGTCTTGTATCAATACGCTGTACCACCCTCTCTGTATCTCTCTTTCTCCTTAAATGGGAGAAGGGGAAGTTCAGGGTCTCCCTGTCTCTCTCTTACTCAATTATGATTTTAGCACCACCTCAAGTGGTGACATTGACCACCTCATGTGGTGACATAGTCTCCAACTTCTTTTGTGGACAGTGTTTGGCATCCTGCATTTTGAGTTTGACAATCCTGCGTTTTGAGTTTGGCATCCTATGTTTTGAGTTTGGCATCCTGCGTTTTGAGTTTGGCATCCTGCATTTTGAGTTTGGCATCTTGCATTTTGAGTTTGGCATCTTGCGTTTTGAGTTTAGCATCCTGCGTCTTGGGTTTGGCATCCTGCGTTTTGAGTTTGGCATCTTGCATTTTGAGTTTGACATCCTGCGTTTTGAGTTTGGCATCCTGCGTTTTGAGTTTGGCATCTTGGATTTTGAGTTTGGCATCTTATATTTTGAGTTTGGCATCTTGCGTTTATGCCTTATTTGTCTATGTTTACATTACATTCATCTGGTTATAATGTTTTAACTTAACATAAAAAGGATGGATTAGATGAAAGGCTGGTGCCTATGCTATGTT